TTTACAAAAAAAAGTAGAGCTTGCAGTTACTGTACCCGTAGTTTTTTTCAATTTCACCTTCCAAATTTCATTCAATGCTACATAGGTAATGAGTATAAAATCCAGATGGAATCTGTAGACGCACAGCCACTAGCGTCCTACTTTAACCTCCAAACCCAAAACAGTTTTCAGAGAACTGTCTGATTATTATCCCATTAGCAAATAAGATACTTCGCCGATGCTAATCAAGCTTGATAAAGTATATGTAGGCAAAAGGCGTAATCTTACATTGCACACTATATTGCACTCTAATGATGCTATTTGCGACAGCAAAAGTGGTCATTTTGGTACTGAAACGAAGTTCAATATTGCATGTGAACATGACGTTTGAAGAAAATTTTGAAAAAAAAAACGTTTTTTAGTTGGCCTTAGTCGCCAATTGTTCTATGAACAGATGACAGTTAATATAACTTTTGCGACGAAAGATACACTGTTATGATGTAGAAAAGATAATGCCAACGTAATTCATTTGGCAAAATGGTTTGTTTAGCTATCTTGGCAAAAGCTGTTACGTTTGTTCTTTCTTTGAAACGATTTTTCTTTCAGCGCAAAGATTCGGATCATATTTAACGAGAAAGATTAAGCAAGAAGAATCAAGTCAACAACTTATTGCTCAAAAGTTTCACTGTGAAACAAGTTTTTGCAACCTCCACTATCATTTATGTATTCATTTAAAGCTGAAGAAAACTTAATATTACATACATCTGCAGCCGCATACCTGGCATGGGTTTTTCTACACTCATAGTTTTGAAGGAATTCAACTCTCGTGAAAAAAAATTTATTTCCAACCAGTAACTGCGTATGAGATCAGCTGCCCAGTTTGACAAAACTTGAAGGCAAAAGTGAAGCTGGCACACTGATCTGCACATTTTGGTGCAACTTACAAAAAAAAAATAGTCGTCCAACTATAAAACGAAGTCATTGCAAGTGAATACGCGAAAAAATTGTTTTTTTATTTACTGATTAACAGCCCAAAGATATTCTCACAGTCAATGTTTTACGTCAAAACTTTCCGCCACTCTATTTTTTTCAAAAGAAGTTAATAAGTCATATTTTTTCGAAGAAAAAACTCATAGGTTATACACACTGCTTCTTAAAGTGAGACTAATGCAGATTTTCATTTTGCATGAATAGAGAACGTGTATTTTATGCAACAGATTCTATATAGTGTAGTCTTTTACGTCCTTCTCCCACCACTACCACTGAAACAAAAGACCACATAACGTATTAAAATCACTCACTTACTCCAACCTTTTGAAGGCTTAATCAAAAAAAAAATTCCGACCCAGTTCTTATTCGAAAATAACATTCTATCCATTTATTATTTACTGCAAAGCAGTTACAATAATATAATTATAGAAATTGGTTCGCAAATCCCATAACATTCTTGAGTTACCTAATTGAGTAACAGCGGAGCTATTTTTTTATTCTCGGTAGAGACGCAAAGAAAACAAGGGGATCCCCCATGTTGACTGACATCACAGTTCACTGGAGTAAACTAGCCACTGCTTCAGGAATGTATCTCTATGGGGAAGCCCGGAGTCATTTCAGTTTCAATACACACGTTTGAAGCAGATTTAAAGACGGGTTTAGTATGAAGCGGATCCGAAGAATGACAGTCGGTATTATAATATGTTTCAAGTGAACTGCACGTAAAATTAGCAAATCAAGAAACTCATTTCATCATTTTTTTCTCTGCGAATATATCAACACTTTTTGCGCAAAGCAAATTGAAAAACATTTTTTTTCGTTGAAGCAAATATCGCAGTTTATCTGATGGTCCTTGTTATGTTCGAAAAAAAACTTCATTGCAAAACGAAATTCGAGCAAGATTTTTCTGGAAAGAAGAAATAAGCAAAGATTTTTGTCGAAAACTTATTGCTCAAAGTTTTACGGGAAAAACAGGTTTTTGTAACCCTCATCACCACTCAAAAGTTCATTCAAAACTGAAAAAAAATCCCCATAAATCATGTAATGAAAATGGATGTGATGACGTTGCGAGAGAACACCACGATAAAGAATGTCCTTTTTCTAAAAAGATTATTTTCGATGACTTTCAACGAATGTTGCATTTCGCAGTGATATTCTCACATTTGGGAAGTTCATCTACGGAGTATTAACAGTAAATAAATAGGTCCATTTATATGCACATTCTCGATTCTTTTACATTGGAAAAATCATAGCTCTAAGCGCAAAGTCCCCACTGATAAATTAAATTTTGTTGTCCCTAAGCTCTACACAGACTAATTCCCATAATTCTAAATTTGGTATCTGTTGCAGCTGCAACTAGCAGCAGAAGGTATGTTTGATTGATTAGTAGGATTACCATGCTTGTTGAAGGCCGACTCCATCAGAGCTCTTGCCTAGTCTCGGCTATCTGAAAAAAATCGATGGAAACGGTTTATGCCAATTTCTTGTATATTGTATTCCAATGATCATATCTGTATGTATGCCCCTAACGACTGATGTTTCGAATCAAACTTCTATTTTCAGAAACATAAGAAAAGATTAGGAGGGTCGACATACAGATGCTTGCAAGGAAAAAAATTTTGGCGTCCACACGATTTTTCGTATATTCTGTTGTATCACCCACGAAAAAAAAAAAGATGTCAACAATTTTGGATAATTACAGTCTTCAAAGCAGTGAATGAAAAAAAACAGTTGTTCGGATTTCTTATTATTTATTTTTTTCGACTATCTAGTAATTCTCTAGCAAAAATGCAAGAAATGCTGAACGTTTTGCATCACCATACTGTGGTAAGTTTTACCTCTTCGTTTTTTTTGGCCGCACCGCTGCGTATCGCATCTATCTTCTTTGGAAAGGCGATTCAAAGAAGTTCCTTTAATCAAGCAGCGTACAAAACAAATTTGTAGCAGTCTAAAATTTCGCCCTTGTGTAGAAAGTAGCATAAATATTGTCACTACTTCCACACTTGTCCCTACGTCTATGATAGAGCTATGATTGAAATACATGTATGTATATTTACATAGGGTCTACATTCATAACCATTCTAAGCTGATAATTCAAGATCTGAATTGTTATTGTATTGAGCAACCCCGTCAAAACAGTTTTCGCTTGTAATTTTTTTTTGTAAGACTAGCCTTCATGTTCGCTTATCACCCATGAAAATGCACAATATTGATGTATGTCAACCCGTAGTTCAATGTAATCCAATTCTTCCCGCATTTTTCCCCATCTCCAAAAAGAACTCTATGCCAGTCTTGCACGGAAAGCTACCTATATCATTTTTTCCAATGTTATATGACGATTACCCCTAAAACCAACTACAGATCATCGATGTACTTCCGCTCGAGGACGAGCTTCTCGAAGTGCCCGGGATAGGAGAGGTCGTAACTGTTTACGCAGTTCACCTACCCAACTCCGCGTGCACGACGACAATGGAACCTCCCGCTGCCACGACGGACGAAACCAACACCGCCCTTGCTACAACAAGCTCGAGGACGAGCTTCTCGAAGGAATGGAGATGTCAGGATGTAGCCGCTGTGTAACCCTATAGTTGGATGTAGCTTGCTATCGGAAGCATTCACCAACTGTCCAGCCGTTTACACTCAGTCGCATATATAAGCTCGTGCCAGCAACTGGCACGGCAGTCACCTCCACCCCGTGCAGCCTAGCTGCTCCCCTCCCCCTTTCCTTCTCTGTGTCTTTATGTATATAATAAATATTTATAATAACTCTAATGTACTTACCTCGCACCGCTACGCTCAGGCAAGGGTCCGTACACCCCTTGAACCTGACAGAGTGCGTGGCTAACGCCACGCACCTTTGAAACCTTTGAAACCCACCTTTGAAAAAAAAATTTTCCGCGCCCCCCCCCCGGTCCGAAATCCTGGGGCCGCCACTGGAGATACTAGTTGGCTTTCCCGGTCCAGCCCGGGCCATTGGTCACCGCACTGCGAACCCCTCCCCCTCTTACGTCTTATGGATGACTTACCCTGGGAGATCGCTTCGAAACCGCATCTGTAATCCTGAGGTGAAAATGAGCTTCACCGCCCTTCTTTACATGGCTATAGGAAAATGCTTGATTGAACATGATAAGCTTTCAATTCCTTAGAGAAACGTAAGCAAATCAATAGATCGATAAAAGCACCCACCCAGCAAATTTTAGTAAAAAGTATCCTATAACGTCTTCGGGGTCAGGAACATCTGTGTGTAAAGTTTTAGCCCAATCGGTTGAGCGGCGTGCGTTTCTATAGCTCACATACCCTCCAAACGACAATTTTTGAGTTTTATACATATAGAGATTCCTAGCTTTGTTCGATCGATTGATTGGACTAGAACCACGGACAGTTATGGCACTTATCCACACTATTAGACTTTCCACTGATCGAATTGTTGGGCTTGGCCGTAGTTTGGAACCGAGTATAGCCTAAGACATAATGCTCGCGATTTCGTCGCTGCGCGATTCAAGCGGACCGACCATTACACTACAGCATACTCATTGCACAATTAGAAAAAGGAGAAGACATGGGATCAGTTCGAAGGTTCTGTAATAGAACTGAATTTTCTGAAAGTCTGCAGCAAATCGTCATAATTTCCTGCGTGCATGCTCTTTTCATGACTCGAACCAGGGCTCGCCAGAGGTGGCTTTCCGAAAATGCAAGAAAAAAAACGATGTCCCCCTTGACTTTCGAAAATTTTTACGAAGTTCGCTTTGACCCTGAACCCTAATCGTAAAAACCCACAATACCAAGCTTCAATTAAAAAAACGTCCTTCGTTCGGTCTTTTCGGCCACAAAAACGATATCCCCTTTGCTTTTTGTCCCAAAAACGAGCCGTTTCTAACGAGCCGAGATGTCTTCACTTCCGCAGAGTTTAGCAGAAAATGTTCGTGCTTACTTGGAAGCAATCTATTGACATCTAAATGGTGAAATCGAATGGGAGCGGTTGTGTTGTTCATGATCAGCATCTATGTGCTTCAGATCAGCAAGTGAAATAGTAGATGCAAACATCCGAGGTTCTTTATTTGTGAAAACACTTGTACATAGCAATAATTTCCATAACAACAAAGGTGTTTGAAATTCAAATAAGTTGAGTGATAAACACGCGGAAATTATCTTCATGCGAGTTTTCTGCGCCTAGCAGCATCTAAACAATAGAAATGCTATATTCATCAGTGTGGAAAGACAAAAATTGTTTTTTCGTTTGTTTTTTTTTGTTTGCATAAGAACGAGGAGCAAGTAGCGCATATTTCCCTATCGATGCGACAAATAACTTACCGATGCATTTAGTGGAATATTCTGATACACGCCTCCATTCTCTCGTGCACGCTTCATTTCAGAATATCTACGCTTTCGTTCTCGATCTTTCTTCTTCCGGTTTTCATATTCTTCATGGGTTTCAGTCGCGCGTCTTCTTCTTGCTCGTTCCGCGCCAGCGGCACGTCTTTCTCTCGCTCTTTCCGCGTCAAACTCAAAAACAATCTATCGTCCTTTCACCCCGTTGTAGCGGGCACGCAGCCTCAGATGCCCTCAAGCGTCGCGGTATTGACCGCGGCGCAGGGTCGATACGGTCGATCAGCTGTTCATCCGTCCGCTGCCACAAGAATCGATGAGTTTTTGATTATTTCTTTATCTCTTTGCTTGCAGGTTGCAAAAAAGGATGGAAGGTGAGTCAAGAAATTCTTTTAAGTTTATTCATAAGTGTATTGTCTCGAAAATCTTGATTACATGCATGAAAAACTCAAAAAACTGGCTGACATCGCGCTTAGATTGGATGCTCAGCTCTTTCAGCAAACAGTGCACTTATGAATAAACTTAAAAGACTTTGCGACCCACCTCATCCTTTTTCTGCAACCTGCAAGCAAAAAGATAAAGAAATAATCAAAAACTCACCGATTGCTGTGGCAGCGGACGGATGAACATCTGATCGGCCGTATCGACCCCGCGCCGCGGTCAAAACCGCGACGCTTGAGGGCGTCTGAGGCTGCGTGACAATATTACTTCTTCAGCCATCGTCCGGCTGTCTTACAGTAACCCAAACTTGGCGTAAAATATGTTCGCTGCACAAGTCACGTATTCGACGTCTTTTTTTCCGACGGCGTCACCTAGACAAGTGTTGCGCGATTTTCTGGTGAGAAAACTAGTCTCGAAGGGGGGCAGCCAACATGAACGATAGATTGTGCCAGCCATACGCGTTACGTAGGTCAAATATTTTCTAGATTCTATAATTACGCTATGATGATATTCAAAATTTTGGAAAAAACGCTAGGAGCTCGGTACCGCCTTATTCTTACTGCTCGACATCATTTTCAATCCAGTGAAGAACATATCGCTTAAAAAAATAAGACTTTAGGCGCGGCATATTGACAACCGCACGAGTATAGTAAGCTTATTTCCAGCTATCGTTCATCTTGTCATACACCCGTCTCGAATGATCCTTGACTTTGTGCGTATCACTCTGGTCGTCAGACTCGATGGAAGCAATGTGCAGTATGCTGACAAGGAGAATAGTTGGTGACCGTGGCCATATATGAGGAAATGTCAATTGCGCCTTTGTGTAGATTCAAAATCCACTTCGCTTATCTGCGAAACTCTTCTCTCAATGAAGTTACACCTTTTTCAACAGTAAGTATACACTGGCGTCTAGCGGAATGTTGAGCATAGATTCGTAATCAGGTTCAAAGAAGCGTCCTATGAGCATTCTATGGTCACAGTCACCAAGTACTCTATTCAAGTGAAAAAGCGATGTCAGACTTGACTAACCTAAAGGTTCCGTTGGTTCCACAAAAATTCTATCACACCACCGGTATACAGTTCGACGAAATGCTAAAGTGTTTGCTCATATGTAGTCATTATTCGTTTGGATGATACTGTAACTAATAGTTGCAGGAAAAGATAAGCACTATTGATATTGATATGACATTACATATAGCCATAGTCAAAAATAACTACGTTTTCGCTTCTTCGCTTAAAAACATTCAGAATGTTTCTTTTGATAGAAACAGTGGTAACACAATGTTGAATATCGGAACTTTGCGTACTAGCGAGTCAAGTAGGCCTCTAAAGGACGAAGCTTATGATTTGTTTGTTTTTATTTCAGAGGTTTATCATCATATGTGCTCAATAACGCATCTGTTTCATATCTTCAAATCACTCATGAAAACCATGACCATTGTGCAGTGCACAGTTATCCTTCTTTGGTGATCTTTTTGCAGTTCTGTCATGTAGGTTGAACGTTTTCTACTAGTGAGCATTTCACAGAATGTGGTTCACTGAGCCTATGGTGCTGAGCAAACGTGGAGCTGAATTCCCCTAATCATCTGAAGTTCACATTACTGTGGGAATACAGCAAACATTTGCTGGTGTTCGTAGAAGAGGCTTTCTCATCCGATGACTTCTTGTTTCTTGTTTAAATGTACGTTCTCATCGTACTGAGTTGGACGGAAAAACTGGAAATTATTAGGGTAAGTTTCAAAAGCACGAATCTTGTATCGAATCGAAAGCTTCTTGTACAACAACCTCACCATTACCTCCTCTCAACAAAAGGGTACTCCAGAACAAGATCCACCTTCAAGTCAGCTGAAGTTCATACCGAACAAATCCCATGCAGAGGTAAACATATTATGCACATGCATACAATACGTAGATATGTAATGTACGACAGCGGACGTCATGAAATTCAAAAAAAGAAGTATTCAGGAAATGTTTCAAGACATGTCATTCGGAGAGCTAATCAAAGGCCTTCGACTAATTCTGTTCCAAACAAAACCTCGTGCGTGCAAATGTGATCAAACATTAGAATCCCCCTTAAAAAGCGCTTTCACACACTTTCTTGGTCTTGAAAATCATCATTGCAGCAGCTTCATGCTTGCCGGTTGAATAGCCAAGGACGACAGCTCTGAGGCCTTAATCCTGTGATTCCTGCAATTCCTGCGATTCCTGTGACTGAAGTTCGTAAAACGCACCGTAGTGCGGCACATCGCAAGTCAAGGAAACACAGGAATTGATGACTTACAGAAATCGCGGGCATCATTTCCTGGAATAGTGTGGGTATCCCTTGAAGGGAGGCGTCGAATGCGTGACTTGTGCAGTGAACATATTTTACGCCAAGTTTGGGTTACTGTAAGACAGCCGGACGATGGCTGAAGAAGTAATATTGTGGCTGCGTGCCCGCTACGATGGGGTGAAAGGACGATATTCTCAGAGATATTCATGGACAAAGGATCGTACAATCAAAGTGATGAACTTACTGATATATCCTGAAGCACATTCGGGTACTCGGCTTGATACTCTCGAGCACGCATCTCTTCCAGATATCTACGAACGATTCCGCGTTCTCGGTCCCTCCTCTTCCGGTTTTCCCGTTCTTCTACTGTCTCAGCTGCACGTTTCCTTCTCGCTCGTTCCTTACTGTCTTGTCTACGCATCATTTTCTGCTCTTCAGTCAGACTTTCTCGTATCATCTTCGATCGCATTCTGCTCTGAGACAAGCGTTTCTCTCTCGCCTCCTCGGACTCGTTCAGACGTCTCAGTGTAGCCCGCTGTTTGCACTTGAACCGTCGTTCATACTTCTCCAGTTCAGTCTCTTTCAAACGGTGAATTCGCATTCTTGTAGCTGCCTCTGAGATACATTGTTTTCTTGCGCGGGCTTTGCAGCGCTGCACCGCGATTTTTAGTTCATCTTCGGGTGTGGGTTTGAGTTTTACTTCAGGTTTTGTTTCAACATCAGATGTGGGCTCCAGCTTTAATGCTGTTTTTGCTTCATCATCGGAGTGGAGCTCCGATTTTACTGCAGTTTTCCTTTCATCATCGGAAATGATCTCGAGCTTTACTACAGCTTTTGTTCCATCGTCGGATGTGGGCTCCAGCTTCACTGCAGTTTTTGCTTCATCGTCGGAGTCGGGCTTGACCTTCACTTCTACCATCTGCCAGCGTGATGTGCGAAAATGAGACGAACTGGCATTCATGTGCTGATAGCCCACTATAACTCACGTGGGAACAAGTATAGGCCCCGTAAGATCCAATTGCCCACACGTCGCTTTGAACACCAAGGCGCGGCGCGGCTGGGAACGTTTGGTCCCGAAGCGCTACAGGCTTTTTGCGAGCGACAATGAGCGCGCACCCCCTCCACACATATTTTTTTAAACTTGTGAAGGGAGCTTTCGTCAAGATATACCTTGCATTGACGAGAACAACATGAAAGCTAAAGAAAAATTTCCTGGAATATAGTGAACGCCGACAGTCGTTCGCGACGACCGCTCGCTTGCGCTGGTGTTCAAGGCACGGCGCGGGCAATTAGGTTTTACGGCGCCTATAAATATCATTTGATTCAACTGGCTTGGCATCGGCAAAGGCGAGGCTTCATGGCTTAATTAAGGCTAGGCTGTGATCAGAGAGCACTCGTGCGAGAAAGACGCAAGTGCGTCGCGGGCGCGAGCGGTCTTAATCAGATCACAAAACCCCGCCCTAATTGCGCCAAGCCAGTTGAATCAAAGGTTAGGTTAGGTTCTGTATCTAGTTGTAATCACTCCGCTGATGGTTGCATGGGTCGTTGCTTATTTAACTCTGGTTGATGCGAACACATGCATGTGGTGTTGATAGCCGTGGAAAGCAACATCACAACTGGAAAAGGTGCCTTAATATCTTAAGGGCCGAGCATACATCACGCGATTTCATCGCCTCGCGATTCTCCCAAGACAACTGTTACGAGTTCATTGCATGGCGACAATCTTGCATTTCGGTTGTAGTAGTTAGTCGGGATTAGTCATGTTGGAAAACTGTCACAATAGAGATGCAAGATGATAAGGCGGAGGAATTTTGATCAAGGTGAAGAGATCGTAGACGGTACCTTAGTTCCGTGATTTGGTAGCATGCGATGAAGTGGTAACAGTTGTCTTGTTAAGTGAATCGCGTGATGACGCCCGGCCCAACAGATAAATCCGCTCTTTGACTCAGATAAGGCTCTTCAGATAAGTCCGCCCTACAGATCAGTTTTTATTTTCCGCTATACCCTGAATTCTTGTCAGATAAGTGACTGGCAAATAAGTCCGGACTTAACTGCAGACAGACTTATCTGATGGGAGGCCCTATCTGTGAGATTTTAGGTAATGTAAAAATGGGCTTGTCCGCCCGCTTGGTTCGCACTTCCAACCTGAACGGCCCTGAGAGTCTAAGTCCTTATTTAAATTATGCGGTAGGAATGATCGAAACCTTGGGACACGGATTATACATGACAAATTGTTGTGGTAATTAGATGATGTGTTCAATTGTTGAAAACGAAAAAAGTTTATCATTAGATAATTACAATTGCACTATCAAAAAGAAAATCCTTAAAGCTCAAAACTATGCGTAAAAATGCTTTCCCGCATTATGGCTGGTAATGCAACTTGTCCCGTTTTCGTCCAACGATCAAAAGTGTTGCGGAGACGGATACTGCAACAAATACGAATTAGGTATCTTGCAGATTTTCTTGTTTGAAAAATTTACCCGCTGAAACAGTGATGAGCACTAGAGGTATCAAAGGCAGCGTTATCTTCGGAACGCACAAAGGGCTTGAGCCCATCTGACGCCGTTCTTCCGAGTCAAGTACCAGCATCTCTTTCGTTGCTACGTCAATCTCTGGATCTTGTGTACGTGAAACTGCTCGTCGTGTTCGGTTAGGGCGACTTACACCACATGATGGAGGCTGTAAATGACTCAGTTTATTTTGGCATTTTTTGGGGGTGAACATTCCCGCTATTGTTGAAATTGCTCGAGTCGCTCGACAACTGGAGCACTTATTGGAACCCTCTCCCTCCCTCCCACCCCCCTCCCTCGAAACGGATGCGGAAATGATACTCTATAAAATAATCACATAAATTCAAGTCATAGGAGTAGAGAATAGCAGCAATTCTCTTCGATATTTACGCGTAATACTCTTATATGAGCGTAAAAACTGCTATTAGCTTGTCCATCAATTTGAGTTTTTTAGCCTTTAGAAATGCCCTAATTTAGCATACACGAGACCCTACTTGGAGAATTTCGGAGGCCAATCGCCCATTCTAACTCGTACTTCACGGAGAACTTGTCCTTGACCTCTACGAAAATTCACATTAATCCGAGTAAACCAGTGATTCTGCCATTCACCCAACAATCAACTTTCAACACCTGGCTCGGGTTCGATTCTTTCAATGGTGCCTCCAATGCCATTACACATGCAAACTATATCGGACGAGATAGCGGTACTACGGTTTTTTCAATGTGAAGGCCGTTGAAGTATGTAGCTTACCGTGATATCTTGACACATTCCCATTTGTCGTTGACATAGTCGGATTTGGCAAGTGAAGTATAATTGATTTGAATCCGCATATTTGAATACCTGCAAACTTTTGAAATCAGAGATGAACGAAGATGATTATGAACATTTCATTTTTGATTGCATGCTTTCAAAGATAGATTTTTGACACTAAGTCGAGTGGAAATCTCACCTGACTTGTGGCATGTGCTCTCATCAGATTCTGATCATAAACAAGCTCACTGAGCAAGGAGACATCCGTAGAACAGCTGAAATGATTATGTAGCCTACTTAATTGGCATAAGTGAGCTTTGTGCTCACCCGTCGTAATCTATGACGGCATGATCTTCTCCATCTCCATCCGTAACAAAACATTTCTTCACCAGCATACCCATATCGGTTGGGTTGCATTCCCAAACATGGTATACCTGTAGAAGTCTTGCAGATTGACTGCGGAGCAGTGGGAGAGTATACAACTTACGGTCTCTCCAACATTGGCGAACGTTAGTGTGGGCCCGTTTGGTGAGTCCCGACGGACCGAATATTCGCATACCGGCATTTGCATGGCATCGCTCAGTTCGGTTGTGGGTAGGCTACTGAAAAACAAATATAGAGCACATCCATGCCTTAATGGCTGAACCAGTGGTAGCAATTTATTATTTCAATGCAGAGTATCACTTGCGAATTGTTTCGCTTCATCAACAGAAGGGTTTGAAGAGAAAAATTATCTTAGAGCGCCATTCACTCATTTAACTTCGATAAGATCGAAAAGCCTTCTCATCCGCTCACTGTAAAAAAAAAGATAGGACATGGTATCGAGAACAGCAATTACTGTGTTTCTGGGTGACCCTTCGTATTTGCGGTAATACTTTCAAACTCTCGGATTTTCTCCCTTGCAGCGTAATTGTGTCAGCTTACTTAGAACGGAGCTAAGAGTTCGGCTTAGAAGTTGCGAAGTACTTAGTCACTTCGGTAAATCTCCTTTGCCTCTTTAAATGCGTAATTTGTACCCCTTGTACCACTTTTTTATGAGCAGTAAAGAGGAAAAGATAGCTACTAAATTTGGTCAAGGTCTATGTATTTATAGTTCCTTTGAAGGTAATGCTTGAAAGCTGCTAATAGGTGAGATTAAACAAAGACGTGAACATGTCTCATAAAGTATTAAACACATAAATTTTAGCCTTCATTAGAATTTTAACCAATAATTCACCCATTTATTTCCAAAGAGAACTTGGCCTAAGCTTATAAAAGTTTTTTACGTCAAAATTAGCTTTTTACTACTAATACAATGCAACTCTTGTGGACCCACCTTACATCAATCGACTGTGTAACTATAGAATCTGGCTCCATGTAAAAGCACTTCACATGAAATGCACGATCATTTTTCGTGATGAAGCCAGCTGGATGAAATGAGACCAGTACTGTGACCACAAAGTTCACTCCGCGTGGATTTGCCTAAAGAGCAAAAACACCCCCTTTTTGTCTATTTAAACCTCACGAATAGTCTTACCGATCGCAGCCTTTGCATCCCGCATTTTCCGAGCGGTAAAGAATAGGAGTTTGTACCATTATTGGCGTATGATTGACGACATGACTTGTCTTTCGCTCGTCCCTAAATACTTGCTACATTATGTGGAGATCGTAAATTTTTGCATCTTAGCATTCTTAACATTCTTCGGTGATTAGTCGCTCACCCAACATGCTTATTTGTAAACAAAAACGAAAGGCTTTTTCTAAATCTCCATTCAAACATCCGTGATCAAAGGACGTTCTATGCGGTACATGTCATCCAAACAACGTTTGATGTGCAATTATTCGTAGCATCGTTGGTCAAGGCAATGAATGGCTAAGTGTGGCAGGTAGTTTGCCAATAAGAATGGGCAAGGACCTAGATCTCTGGCTCCAACTCAACGTCTGATGTCGAAGCAAACATTTTTTATATGGATCTTTCGACAAGCTCTCCTCGTTACACATGTTGATTTTTCCTCGATCTCTAAATTTAGATTTATCTGGTTCAACGAGTTCAACGTACAGAGGATAGGGCCAGCATTGTTTCCATTTCCACCTTACATTTTCTGATTACCTGTCCCAGGACATATGGAGCTGTTTGCGGCAGGAAAACATGGGGGTATAGCTCAGGGGTAGAGCGCTCGCTTTGCATGCGAGAAGTCTGGGGTTCGATTCCCCATACCTCCACCACTTTTTGCGGCCATGATGTGATTTAGAGGATGACGCATGGGTTCGATTTCCTCGTTCCTTACCTTCTAGTGCTCACTACTAGTATGTCACCAAAGCATTTTCAGCTCTTCGTATATATTTTCTACTTTTCATAGGAAGCGTTCGCTAGATATTAATCATCTGTGAATTAGATGCTTCCTTGAAGTTATGCTAATTGTTTGGAGCTAATAACTATTAGGATTAGCTTTTCTGCAACAATAAAAACCCTTCTTTTTTCGTCGGAGTTTCCTTCACAAAAACGTTGTCAGCGTTAGCAAGCTCGTGACCTTTTTTCAAACGAACTTGTTCTAATTTCCGCCATAGCAAACACACGTTCCATGCGTAGTGGGAGTATTTACAATTGAGCTACTACCGTAATCGCTGTTCAACACGATGGTGGTACATTAAGCATTTTTCAGCGGCTTTTCGATGAATGTCAACATGCTTGCTGTTACGGCTAACTGCACGATTTGAAGGCACCGCATTTTTGTTATGCGCGTGAATATGGAAGACAGCATATATTGGTACTAGCTCAACTTACATACAAATCAGAAATATATGAGAATATCCTGTATAGATGACATCCGCTAGTTTGGTATCTTATGGTAGTCGTTACATTCTCTTATTTCTTGTCTGTCCTTTTTTTGAGTAAAGGGTCATCAAAATATATTAGTTTTAGCTGCATGTATAAATATATAAATATAAGTATCCAAAAAAACTATGCATGCGCTTGTAGTCAGTGAGAACTTTATAGCTATTAGATGTTTGGCGATTCACGAAATAGATTCAAGCAGCGAAAATGCAACCACTCAAAAAACTATTGCTCAAGAGTGGACCAAGGTCGAGATTTAGCCCCCCGTTCGGGTATCTTTCACCTACTCAAACACTGGCGGAGGAAGCGGTTAACAAAACCCATTTCTTTGCATGATGGTTACAATGGTGTAAGAAATAGAAAAGGGAGGAGGCAATTTTGATTTTAACACATCATATCCAGCGTCCAACCCCAGCTTGCATGTTCTTCCTCATTGTGCGTTAAAAAAGCATCAGCTCCGAGGAAGCATGTTCGATTGATCTTCAAGACGATATTGTTCTCGGTCGGAAGTTCAAGATCAATCTTTAATCCGTAAATTGCGCCGCCGCGCATTTTACTAGGTAGGCTAGTATTTCTCTCACATGAATTTTATTACAAAATATACGCCAGCACAATATTAGCTGGAAGCAGAGCTGCCACGATGGTAAAAAACCGAAGCAAAAGTATATGAATGAAAGGTGTGGAGATCGAAACGAAATCGCAACTGCGAAAGTGAAAGCTGGAGTAAAACTTCGCTATGTTTTGCATAGCATTCCGCGCGAGCCACTATTAGGCTAGATAGAGAATTATAACGTTACATACCTTTACAAAAATATTGCCTTGAAATGGTTTCTCCGTAACCACATCGAGCGCCAAATCGTTTTCTTCACACATCACTTTTGGAGTGCCTGGAAAGATGAGCTTTGATATAGGGTTCTCTGTCTCTGCACTATGGAGCTTAGTCTTCGCTAAAGCATTCAAACAAGAGATCCCTTTTTGCAGCCGCTATGGTCCATGTTGAATAGTGAAGAGAAAGTTCACTTTTACAGAAAAAAGACGTAATTAGTGCTATAACTCTTTGATACTGTATTTTTTTGCCCAATATCTCCGTATTGCGCTGCGATTATGGGCTTTAGAGCTGCGAGAAGAAGGACTTTTATTCTGTCTTGGCGGGATTCTAGGAGAAGAAGCATAAAGACCGGTTTTGGAAGCATCAAGCCAGTGACGCTCCAACTCACTTTTTGGGTGCTTACTTTAGCGAAGAAAAAGCAAGGTTAATATGAAGCTTAAGGTTTTTTCACATATTTGTTCTCCATAACAACTGCCTCAATGAGCCGTCGAAACATGCTCTTTTTCATGTTTCTGTACTGTTCTGAGGGCGATTAAGAACTGCAACCTATAGTCTGTACGAAGTGCGTCATTTCAGCGTTGTTTGTAGCCACAATTTTCCTTTTTTCTCTTTTCACTTTTTTCTGTAGTAGGCAAGCAAAAGTTAAAATATCAATGATCTCTTGCAAGCAAAATTTCAAGGGTAACTCACCTACGATACTATTTTCGATGTAAGAGGAAGCAGCTGTGATTAGAGGTAGTAAGCAGAACACGAACTCTTTGGAGCTGAACATATTCGAAGTGGTAAGTAGAATGAGTGAGGGGCGACCAGGATGAGGGAAGTCCCACCTCCTCTGTCGCCTCCCTCTTTCCATGACCTTTCGCGCCCGCTGACACCGAAACGCAAAACTGTCTCTATTTTTTCGTAGGCGCGTGCTATCTATTCTTTCATAAGGGTGTCAGGTCAAGTGTTAGTAATTTACAAGCCGCTAGGTGCGCTTGTACCGGCAAGTCCATCGCTCGATTAGTCTCTGATTAGGTACACTTTCTTTGCGAGCTGTACTTTGTCAGATGAATTGTGTCAAGTTGATAGAAGCATGCAGTTGATGGCTAACGTGAACCCCTACAGACTGACCTCGCGCCAAAAGTTGTTCAGAAAAACTAACACAAATCTACACAACGGTCAGTCACGAGTTGAAAGATATATGCAATCTGCTAAAAGTATCTAACGCTTGTAAACTTTCCAAGCATAAATGATTGTAATTGCATGCATTCGCAACGTTCCCCCAAATTTTCCTCTTAGCTGGTTTTTGTTCGCAAGAAGTTTAGTGGGTAATTCTGCGGAGGCTATTTCCAAGAAACTGTTTGCGCACCATTGTTGCACTTCGTAGATTTCCTTCAAAGAGTCGTAAAAATTTACAGCGATGATCCATAATTAGCAGATAATTCATAATCAAAGGTTCTTCATCTGAAACTCCATCGCTCAGATTAGCAGCGTGGAATTTTTGACATGGTTTCGAGTCTTGATTGCAAAAAAAAACTGGATTTGTTTGACACGAATTTTTCCTTTTTGCTTTGCAAAACATCGGAGGATAACAATGCAGAGATAAGTTTCAAACCGCATGTAGCAACAAGATTTCCTAGCGCAATGGTGGAGAGCAACAATATTTTGGTCATTGATGGTGTCAAGCACTGTAATCGGTATGTTGAGGGAAACCGTTGTTCAACCGTTATTAACCATTTATGTGATGGATAGTGCTGAGCAACATCCAATAGAAGCTTTTGCTGCAATGTTCGTTGCGGATGACGTCAGAAACACCAATCTTAGTGGGAGTTGCTGTCGAGCAACAATTTCACCGCCCATGGTGGACCGCAACAGAAATTCCTCTTGCGCACCTTGAAGCGCAATTTTTATTGTGGATGACGTTGAAGAACACCAATGCTAGCGGGGTTGGTGTTGAACAACAAGAATTTCCATCGCCCATGAGGAGCGTAACACCTTTTGTTGCGGATGACGTTGAAAAACACCAGTGTTAGCGGGGGTTAATGTTGAGCAACAAGAATTTCCATCGCCCATGGTGGAGTGCAACACCAAATTTTGATGCGGATGACGTTGAAGAACACCAATGCTAGCGGGGTTGGTGTTGAACAAAACAAGAATTTCCATCGCCCATGGTGGAGTGCAACAACAAATTTTGTTGCGGATGACGTTGAAAAACACCAATGTTAGAGGGGGGTGTGTTGAGCAACTACCATTACCGCATGAAGGAACGCGACAGCGACTTTTGTTGCTGTTCAGTTGTTGAGTAACAAGAATAGTGGATGGTGGGAAACAATAACAGTTTTGTCAATGTTGATGAACAGCAATAATAGATGTTATGCTGTTGTTGAGGAGACGCATTTCTTGTTCTACCAGCCGGTGCGAGAAAAAACGATTTTTTGTGTTGGTTTTAGGAACCGTTGTAGACCGCTCTTGATGCTTAGCAACAACAATGTTGCAGTTGGTGTTGAAGAACAGCGTTTGTCATCAATCGACTGCATGTTTGTAAAAATTTCTTTTGTAAATGGGTACAGCACGAATTTGTTCCCAGCTTACCTAGGATAATGTTGGTTGCAATTCCTATGTAGTGGACGGTGTGGAGAAAGATCTGCCATCGTTTCTGTGCTACCGCGCTGAAATGGAAATAAACTCTCACTTTTCTCTTGCAGCGCTTATACCGTTGCAAAAAGCTTCATGAGCATGGTCGATGACCTGAGTGTTTTTTTTTTGCTGAGCAAATGATATACCAGAGTGGCTAAGAGTCTTCCATGAAGAGATTTGAATAGCAATTTTTGTATATGATACCCCACAGATTTCGTCGAAATCCTTCCGTTCAAGATCGTAAGAAATTAATCATCCAAAAATAATTTCGCTCCTTTTGACTAATGAGATCATTAGAACAAAGAGCACTGCCATCTTTGTTGTACATCAAAACCGACTAATTCGATTTGCGCGAATTTTGCACACTTTCATGAGTCTGCGCAGTGTGTACATGTGCTAGTTTTTCCTCTCAACCGTTTGTTTTATTTGCCAGTCCCAATTACGAGAGTTGTGCCCTACTTTGATGAACATGAGTACGTTATGTATGCTGGGCCCGGAAAACAAGGAAGAACCAAATCATCAGGAAAAGTCTAGCCGATGCATCAGGGCGATGATACAAAGAAGAAGAGCAATGAAAAGGCTAGTAATTAAATTTCATCTGATGCAAGATGTCACAAAAATTGTCGTGTACTGGATCTTCAAATTACTAATGTTATTTTTTATGGTCCATACTCGTTAGAATGTGTTGTGCTTTCTGTTACCTTCTGTTCAGATAAGAAGAAAGTGTTTAGGCATTAGCAGTTCGTAAGGTAGTTCTCTTATTGTTAAGTAAGGCAGACTCGAGCAAATCCCTACATGATCGACTCTGACAGGAAGCAGAACTTAGCGCTGAGAAAGTTGGACCTCAGTCGGATAAACACCACATGAAGTCACAAATTCACATGCTGATAATTTTGCACTTACAAATCAAGAAACAAGGTTATCCCCTCGGTGCGAGGACTATGAAGATAATAAGGTAGTCAAATGGAACCTTAGTTTACCGTAGAAGTTTTATAATGGTGCCATTCCGGCGGCAGCAAAGATTGCTAAAAGTGAGACTTGCCGTTCTTCGCCTAATTTCTATTTTCTTTCTCTCCTTGAAAAAACTAGTAGGAACCGTTGTAAATGCGTCTATATGTAGGAATGGAGAGTTTAGCTGAATTTTGGGACGAGCTTTGGCGTTGAACGATTTGGCGTTTTTGGAATGCTTATGATGCTGACTTTATTTTTTGTGATGGATCATGATTCACATAAATGTTTGAGGATTAGCTTGTCGAGTTTGTTCTGATATATCGAAGTATGTTTCAAACCTTGCTAGAATTCATTATGTCGCTCTCAGAAATGTCGTTACCGACCGACTATAAATCCCCGGCATTCTCAAAAAGTGCCTCACGATCATGCCTTTTACAAAGTAAAAAGGTCATCGAACTTGAGTCAGGTGTGCATCTAATTGCTATATATCTCACTCACAGTTGAATTAATACACTTCCGCCGCCCGCAAAGGACACAAAACCACTCAGAGGCGACGTGAATCCAGTTTATGGGGTCCATTGCAAATTCAGGCTAAGATTTGCCAAAATGTTGACTTGTTCAAAACTGAGAGATGCGTGGATTTTGCTTCAATAGCTTTTCACATCAAGGCATTGTCCACGTTGACCCTAAGTAGAAATAATTCAAAAGACGTGGAAACTCTGAGAAATCCAAATCCCCTCTTGAGGCTCTTCCTCAGGCGTGGACGAAGGGGCTATCATGCCGCTAAAAGGCGGGATTGGCGTAACCCCACAAGTGGGGGTAATCGCTAATGGATGATGAATAACGACAGTTACTATAAGGGTGACAACCAACAGGTGTACTGATAATAACTTTAAATTTCAGATGCAACACAACATTCAAAGGACAATTTTTGATTGGAATCAACACATTGCGACTCTGGATGCTGAGACGAAAATACATAGGCATTCAAGGAAATTCGGTTGAGTACCGTGTCAGTGTATAAACAGCTAACAGTTTTACACATTTTTGCATTGCTTCTGGTATTTTGAAGATAAGCCAGTCAAACCTATCTTTACAGGACTTCACCCGAGATCTATCTGACAGTTTGCGCCATAGGCCAAGAATTTCTACACAGATGGGTAACGCTCCACTATGCGAGTATCTCGGGTACCGAGTTCGTAAAGAAATCAGCGAGAATTTAAAGATTTCTTGTGCTACGAGTCCGTGGGTTGTTGTCGCTGTGATCTTGATCAACCATGGCTAACCGATCTATACAATGGCGCCACAGATGGCATTCTGTGTGCTTCTTTTCTTTTCTTTCCTAGGCAGAACCACAGAACCACAGCTCGCGCGCGAGTGAAATTTTTCGTGCAAGGCAGTCTGACTCCAAGCTTTTCAAGATTTTTATACGGATTTTTTAGATGTCCCGCTCAACGCATGAGCAATTCTACTATGGAATTGATGAGCAGGCTCGTCGTCCTAATTCCCGTCAGACTCCGGAGACACGTCAGAAAGGTAAGAGGAATTGGGAGGTTGAGTTCAGAGCTATGAAACTACTTATTCTCATATATTTTCAGGATTTCATGGACAGACCAGATTGATTACCGTGACTCCGGACGCCATTATCCCATCAATAAATGAACCGATAGAAGCTAGTGGAGGCTCAAGAAGGCGTCGAAGCGATTTATTTGATGTTCGTGATATTATGTGCATGCTTATAAAAGCTTACAAATAGAATTGGCTAAATTTTTTCGATTTTATTCAGGCAAGAGGACGTCGTCAGTGTGTTACATGGGAGACAATGACCGACGAGGAACGTGAAGAAGTGCAAAGAATGAAAAGGTTCGATCTTGAAAATAATTTTAAGTTTAACTATACGCACAAACTTCAAGGCGCAAAAATAATTACAAAAAGATAGTCGATTTAGAAAAGATGAAGCGTACAAAACGGCTCTATGCGACGCATTCAAAAAATTCGGTTTCTGCCCTTATGGTGAGGGCTGCCGCTTCGCTCATGGTGACAGTGAACTGCGTCTTCCTGCTCAGGTATTCGATACAGAACATATTTCTTCTCCTACTTTGATTGGTGTAGGCCAGAATGGTATGAGAATATCATAGCTTTATTATAGCCGCGTGGAAAGGCTCATCCAAAATACAAGACACAGTTGTGCGACAAGTTTTCCACTTTCGGACACTGTCCCTATGGACCTCGTTGCCAGTTCATTCACAAACTGAAAAAGGTAACACATCTCCACAAGCACACTATATTTCATGAAAAGAAAGGCCATTTAAGGGATTGCCCCTGATCCAGTATGAACGCCTTCTCGCTGCAGGTCAGATCTCACCAGAGAGAGAAGATGAAGCTCGCGCACCTCAGGGTCGCCGATCCTCGGGCATGAGCCCAAATAGGTGAATGACTATTTTGAACTATATATGGCCATAGTTAACCAGGTCTCACAGAAATCGAGCAGATGCAGCAAGAAGGCTGACTTTTGAACGTGAGAACTCATTCACTCCAAGACAGAAGATACCAAATGCGATTTATCCAAAAATGGAAATCATAAATATCGAACGTGCCTGCAAATACGCTGACGAGATTGTTGAAAAAAGTAAGTTAGATGCTATTTTTCACTGACCACATAGATTAACTCCCTTTTGACTCGAATTGCCTTCATTTTATGCTTCACACATAGGAATAAAACTGTCCAAGAACTACATAGCAGCAGCAAATGAATGAATATATGTAATCGGAACTAGGACAAACGGAACATTTGAAAAACATTCGTTACAAAATTTTGCGCTTTTGCTGCAAAATAACTATGGCAATAGATTCAAAAACTTTATCCTTTTTTCATTAAAGACGCCAATACCCGCCGTCGTTCGGTTGAATTCGATGATATGCGACCAGCAATCGATTTTAGTATTGGTCAGATGGGAAGGTAAGCATAACCCGAAATTTTTTTGTTCTTGATTAATATCCACAGATCCTCCTCGATGCATTCGCTTGCAAATCGTGGAATGATTGGAGACATCCGTAGCATCCCAATGATGCAGCCGGTTGATACAGGCGAAGTAGTAGATCCGATACTCACCCAGAAGAGCCAGAAAGTTCCTGATTTATCGCTAATAAAGGAAGAACCGGAGGACATGCAAAATCAGGAAGGGTTAGCTGAGCTACAATTGCCTAGCAGTCACAAAATCTGCTTATTAAGGTCACCGCGTACTAGCCGTGCCAAACGTAATCAGTGGCCAGAAAAGCTTACTGGAATGAAAATGGATACTATCTCCGAAGACGACAAGGAAAACAATGTCAGCAAGCAGGAGAAGGAGAAGAATGAGAGCAAAGAAAACGAATACAACGAGCAGGCCGAACAGAAAAGTGAGAGAAAGCAAAATAAAGAAGAGCGCACAAGAGAAACCGAACTACTCGTACAGTCATGCGATGAGGAACTTCTTGCGCAGGGACTCTATGACCACAGGTATTGTGGAGAAGATGTTTTCCTACTTGAGGTTTTTCCCACTGGATAGCAACACCCTTGTGTGGTGTTACAGAATACATCTTTTACAGGTTTAATAGCCTGTTTGTTATTACCAACTTTGTTCGACAACTTGAAATTTTTGGTAGTTTACTTGAGCTATAAGATCGCAAGTGGCTACTTTTTGTAAGATTTTTTATAGTTTCTAAGATTTTTTTAAAAATTTGGATTAACATTGCAGATTTGCTGTCACGCCCCGTTTCTTCACAATAGCATTACAATTCCTCAAAAAATTATCAGTCGAGCTCCCCTCCGAAGTAGACACAGTGTACGAATGCAACGCAATCAGCAAATTTAGCCATCCCCCCCTCCTCGAACTGGGTGAAGAAATTTTTAAGCGGTGAATGTTATGTAAATGTGTGAATGATTTTTCAATGTATGTCGGAATAATTTTCGAAATCCAGAAGATCAAAATGGTTTTAAAAAAATTTTAAGACCTGTCATCACGCCCACTTTTCCTCACATTTCGGGGCTACGCACCAGAGGTGCGATAGGTGGAGCCGGGCCCCCCAAAAGTGAAGGTGGTTCCAGTTACCACTGGCCGGCCAAAAGTGAAGGTGGTAGTGTCGGACACTCACCTCCCAAAAACGTTGACCGGGGGGGGGGTAGGGGGAGGGAGGACTTCGGATAACTGAAGAACTCTCATCTAATGGCCCCTAGGGCCAACAACTGTGACCTAACGGCCCTCTTTAGGGCCACAAATACGATGACTACAGCGCATAAAAATAAAAATAAAGTAAACTGTTAGTCAAAAGGTCTATTTGTAAGTAAAACCCAGCTAGACTTTGTGTGTTTCATCAAGTACATTTTGTTATGACGTACTGCAAAGAAAGTAGGTCGATCCAGGCAATAACCGCCGAGAACCAGAATTTCGAATGATAAAATAATAAAAAATCGTGAAAAATCATTTCACTGTTACAAATCTGCTGGCTGAAGACCTCCGCAGTTGCGACTTCATAGGTTTTGAAGGGTAAGTGTTGTTCTACCAGACAGTGAAAAAATCAGATTGATTTGAGGAGTGGCCGCCGAGAACGAGAATTTTGAAAAACCTTAAAAATCTGCTCAATTTTAGGTTGTTTAATGACAACTGACATTTAAACTATCATAAATCCGGACTTTGAAGGTGTGTGATGTTGCGACTTCATAGGTTTTGTAAAGTGAGGTTTGCCTTATCAGAACATGTCTTAGCTGTACCGATCCATTGAAACGTCGCCGAGATCCAGGCTCCTAAAGAAGCGGGTAAAAAACCGTTTTTCAGCTCATAACTTCTTCAGAATTGCATGAATCATGTTGCGACTTCATAGGTTGGATTCTCCTCATCAAGAGCTTTCAGATGATATATAATATGTGGGGGGTTCACGCCTTCCACGGCATATGCCCGGGGGTGGAGTACCTCTCTTCACTAATTCTCCACCCCGCCCATTTCAATGTATTGGCGGGAGGCCGCCAGTGGAGAATTAGTGAAGAGAGGTACTCCACCCCCGGGCATATGCCGTGGAAGGCGTGAACCCCTCACATATTATATATCATCTGAAAGCTCTTGATGAGGAGAATCCAACCTATGAAGTCGCAACATGATTCATGCAATTCTGAAGAAGTTATGAGCTGAAAAACGGTTTTTTACCCGCTTCTTTAGGAGCCTGGATCTCGGCGACGTTTCAATGGATCGGTACAGCTAAGACATGTTCTGATAAGGCAAACCTCACTTTACAAAACCTATGAAGTCGCAACATCACACACCTTCAAAGTCCGGATTTATGATAGTTTAAATGTCAGTTGTCATTAAACAACCTAAAATTGAGCAGATTTTTAAGGTTTTTCAAAATTCTCGTTCTCGGCGGCCACTCCTCAAATCAATCTGATTTTTTCACTGTCTGGTAGAACAACACTTACCCTTCAAAACCTATGAAGTCGCAACTGCGGAGGTCTTCAGCCAGCAGATTTGTAACAGTGAAATGATTTTTCACGATTTTTTATTATTTTATCATTCGAAATTCTGGTTCTCGGCGGTTACTGCCTGGATCGACCTACTACATAGATATATGCTCTTAATACTTTCTTTTACATTCCTTTTGCTTATTTTCCTTCTTTTGAGCTTCAGCAAAAAAACTTTTTCAAGCCGAAAAGTGAAGGTGGTCACCCTGTACCAGCTCAAAAGTGAAGGTAGGCGGAGAATCGGCTCCGACTATCGCACCTCTGCTACGCACCCGCGAAAGTCTTGCCAGAAGTTACACAAATCACCTCTTTGTAAATTTTTCTGCTAATTTTCTCACGCTGATCAATCATTGCAGAAGATGCTCATCTCATCAAATGCGCATTAGTTCAAAACTGCCTATTTCGTTGTCAAAGATTTTTCTCTCCAGATACCCAGACACGCCGACCGATCTTCTCGAGCAGTGGAAAGAGCTACGTGCACACTAATCAACTGAATGAGGTCGAGCGTGTTCGATTCAACTAACAACATCGTTTTATTCACAAACCACATCATCGAATCAGTGTTGATAGTCGAATTATCCTCAGCTCGGTTTGACCCTTTAGCTGTGCCGTCGATTTTTATTTGGGAGTTTGCACTATTTCATTTCTATTTGTTTGACATTGCAATTTCTTTATATTGTCACAGCAAACAACACAAAAATCTTATAGTTTGACGAACCGTCTTATTTTTGTAACTTTCGTATCCTCGGAGTTTTATTCGACGGTCCAATGCTTAGCGTTTGTTTTTTTATCAATGCATGTTTTAGATCATATGGGTTATCTTTCACCCAGTATGATTGATATGATTTTTAACTACAGCACCTCCCTGTGAAATAATACAAAAAAAAAAACAAATAAAGATGTTTTTCATGAATATTTGAGACCTACGGTAGCGGTGCCGTAACAGTTGCGTGTGCCATGTGTGAGTGCACGATCGCAGCGTGTGGCGACGATCGATCCGCTCTCCTGGCAGTCGTGTTGCTGCTCCGGTGCGGTTCGAGCTATTCGTCCACCTGCTGATGGGCTTCGGCCCGATTTTACCTCCTTTATCATCACCTCTAAACTCCTCCAAAGTGTATGAGCGCGAGCGTTTGAGTCGCTCCGTTTGGATTGCACATCCATCCAATGCTCGTCAGAATATGCTATCGCTCTCGCCGCTCGAGGTTGGGCCGGTAAAACACTCTTCGTAATCTTCTTCATTCTTATACACGTATTCGCCAGCCTGTGTATAGCTTTGCTATTCTACAAACGGACGGTGATCCCATTTTGGATTAATTACCTGGTTTTGCTGCGACAAACACTCATGGTACATTATTTTCGTAAACGGGTCTATGATTTGGGGTCTAAATGCGTCCTTAGGCAAAACCCTAGTGCCTTGGGCGTGTAGATCGGAGAAATTTGGTTCAAGCAGCGTGGGCGCTTCAACGACCAAGTGCATGTTGGCTGTTCTGAAATCATCATTCCATTCATGGGACGTAAGGGGTTTCATAGAGTGCGCTCACACTAGGTTTTTGAAGAGTGCAATCACAGCGTTGGCTGTTTTGTCATGAGATGATTATCGCGGCAAGAACGTTTTTGACAAATTTTATCACCTCGCGGGGAAGCGTACTTGACTTTGTTGTGCAAAATTTTGCACGATACACTTGTCATGTGCAGTTTATCGCCAACTAGGTCAGCAGAATTTATTGGAAGATTGAAACGTGTTTGTACGGCATGCTGCCTTATAGATTTTGACATCGTAAGTCTTTGAGAACTCACCATAATTAGGTAATAAGATAGATGAAGAAAGCGCATGTTGAACCATCCGAAACACCACCTACATATCTGCGAAATTGACTTGAATCCCGCAATGAGGAGATGAAACTCTGAACACGGATTGGGCTTCATTGCTGATTTCTGCATATCTGAACTAGCAATGGGTAGAGTCACTGCTACTGCGCAAACAGTTACTGAGAACGCGTTTCGGTGAGAAAAATCTGCAGAAATTGCAACGAAATCCAATCTGCACGTCAGAAAACAATCTTGTTGTATATATTTGAAGTATATGATCTGGAGTTATGTCAGTTGTGAAAGGAATTTTGGAGGTATTCTTTGATGGTTTTTTTTTGTTGTTGAGCGAAGTCGGATAATGTTCAGTTTGAATTGACCTTAGTCACGTACCTGTGGTAGTAATATTTTCATCAAAATAGATACATCGTCATGTTGTACAAAGTGCTGGCTCTTGCAAGACGCTCCATCCGTAGCCTTTATTATGCTGCTTGGTAGGGCGAGATCAAGTAGGATCTTCAAATGGGGCGAATTCAAGAATTTGCGAGTCCTGGGGCATTGTAGGATTAGTATCGGGTATAACGCTGGTGCGCAGTAGAAGTTCTCGCGTGATGGTGATGGTGAATATGGAAGGTTAGGTAATATAAGCCAGGGAGGCATTTTTCTCATTATCCGCACCCATTTTTTTAAAACAGAAAAAAAAATCAAAAATAAAGAAAATAAATCAAAGTCAAAGTATTTTGAATACATTATGTCAGGTAGAAATTAAACTTGAATTGACCGGTTTTTTCCGTTCTATGTTAGTGACGTCATGACGATCTAGGTTGCTCTTATATCATAGTTTGTTCCTAGGTATTTATTCTATTTCGTATGGACTTTTTCTATGTTTCGCGAGAACTATCTGTCCAAATCTTAGAAACCGGTTATTCGGTTCCGTGCTAGTGACGTCAAGACGGTTTAGGTGGCATATCATTTGATTGTTTCTAACCCAAGGAATCAGGAGTTGAAACATTTTTCTAAGTATTTTCCAGAATAATCCATACTATTCTTTCTTGATTGTGCCTTGCGAATCATTTTGTCATCAAAAGTGCTGACGAATGTTGCCTCTAACGGCGCTGGTCCCGCTTAATACGCTACATGCTCGCTGCACCTTCATTCTAAGCGCACACTTCAGCTCTGTATAAAACATCCAGTTAAGTCAGTGAGTTGCAGTGGTCCATTTAGTTACACGAAGCGTGTTAAAGCCAATAAGCGAAAGTTTGACCTCAAATGGATTGAACGACTGTCGAAGAGCTTTTGGTGGAATACATGGTGTCCCAAAAAAATGTTAACACTGTTTGATCGTTAATAACTCCCTTGCTTTCAAGTCTTTCGCCGAGCTTTAGGTACCGTTTTGTAGAGCGAGGACAAACTTAGATTTACAGTATGGAGCGAGTAATCTAACTCTCTTCTTTACAGTAGAATTACGGTAGGAAATTTGACATGGATTTTAGGCCATTGAAGGCTTTTGCTTCGAAACACAGCCAAACAAGCCAAAATCTCTTGTACTATGATAATGAAAGCCGTTGATTCTGGATATGAAATTTCCATTTCATTATGATACTTCTTTTCGAAGTTATCCTAGGTGAAGTAATAACTGACTTCCCAGCATGTGTCAAAAATGTGACTACGCCGTAAAGAATGCTGAAAACACTTGTAAAAAGTTGCGTAGTAAAATCAGCGTGCGCGAAAACCCTAGTACACGTTTTTTCAGATTTTTTGAAAAAAATTTTGTCAGAGGGCATACTTCACGACGGTTCCATATGCTGGAATTTCTTACCGTAATCCTACAGTAAAGAGAAGCAAACGGTGATTCGCTTCAAACTATGAATCTAAGTTTAACCTCGCTCTACAGAATGGTGCCTCAAACTCGCCTAAAGACACGAAATCAAGGGAGTTATTAACGATTAAACAGTGTTAGCATTTTTTTGGGACACCCTGTATGTTGAATTCGGAAAAATGGCGATTTGAATCCGGCTGGCAGCTGGCTTCAGGGTGACTTATGAATTTCGATCTATTAGTTGTAATTCTACAGAAGTGGGTGCGAATAATGAAAAGGTATCGCTTCAGAAAGACCGTCATTTGTCAGCGAGCTTGTAAACTGGTCACGTGTGCTCATAAGGCACCCGCCATACTTGATCCGCTTAGTCCACTTGATCCGCTTGATCCGCTTCGCTATTGGTCAGTTCACTGAATTGACCAATAACGAAGCGGATCTAGCGGATCAAGTATGGCGCGTGCCTAAGAAAAGCATTCAGAAATGTTTGGGTTGGGGTACTGGAAGCCTGCAAAGTATCATCTAAAAATGACAGCTCCATGCTTTCTCGGGAACGTTAGGGGTCCTTTGCGCTTTTGACATTACAAACTTGCGATGGAAATCATACTCAGTAGCGGGACTTCGATTAGAATGCACTTAGAGTTTGTGGAAAGACAGAACATTGCTTCATGCGTTGTTTTTGTTCTTAGCGAATAGAAAGTCTTCATGATTTGAGAATGAAGTTTCTGCGAAATCAGTTGTTTTGCATTCGAGCTCCATAAACGCGGAATTCAGATCCTCGAGTGGTACGGGTTATGGCAGAAGAGCTGCACTGCGATCTGGATGAGAGCTCACATCATGGTGGATCTGATGCGGGCTCAAAATGCAGCGGAGACGATAGCCATGGTAATTCGTTCTTGCGAAAGTGGTCTAATATGCAAAAAAAATTGGCCGTTTAGACCATGGTAATGATGGAAAAGAAGCAATGCATGGACACGCATCTACAGAAAAAATGGAGGACGTTTTAGACCTGGACTACGATGAAGGTTCGAATCAAGCTCCTGACAAAGGCGATGAAATGGAAGAAGGAGAAGAACGCGATGAGCATGAAAAAGGAGAGCAACGGTCAAATGGGACTGAAGAAGGAGAAGAAGTCAGTTTTTTACTTCTAGTTCTGCTCAAAGTCTAGATGTGCAAGCTTCATAACTTTAGAGCTCTGATGGTGAGATAGATGACTCAAGTGATGAGAACGACAAGAAGAAACAAGACACGGACAAAGAGGAGGGTGAAATTGACGATAGCGATGACGATGATGGGGAAATAACGCCCAGGTCGACGAAGTTACCGATAGAGGTGATTTTTTTGCAGCTCATTGTTTGAAATCGAAACAAGTGCATACTTTCGCGTTGCTGTTATGCTACTTACAAGAGTTTTTGCATCATATCTGTCATAACGCCAGAAATTGCTGGTGTGGTGCTTTTGATGTGTTGGATCTGTGTTTTTTTTTCTGTTTGCTCTTACTTGTGTTTTCAATTTACACCCTAATGGGCGATGTGATTGAAAATTATCGACGTTACAAAATTTCGAAGCGGCTTATAGCATAGCGCCACATCGGGTTTATCTGAATTGTTCTCAAAGGAACTACATGCTATTTTAGTCGCGTTTGAGCCGTCCGTCCGCTCGTGATAAGCCTGTCAAATTACGGGAAGAGTGCCCATATGAAGTCAATGGTTCTTGCACTTGGGGCCCTGACTGTAAATACACGCATAGGAACAAGGTAAGCTGTTCTTCTCCAGCTAGTGCGGCAGCGAGCAATCGATCATCATTTAGGAAGGCACCAGGTTATTTGCCAGATGCAGGCCAGCAGAAGGTAGTTTATTTATGCATGTGCTTGTTTCTTAGGAACTTGCTGGGATCCCAGCCTCGCTCAGTCAACGTAGATATTCAGTATTTTCACACAGTAATTTCCTGCCTTCCCATTTGTATACAGTCTGCCCCAAACCCAACCTGGCCAAAATTGGCAAGGCGGGAGACCGCGTCGCTAGGGTTTCGCAGTCATGCCCACGGCCTGCTTCTCTGCCTTCTCTTCAATCTTTTTGCTCTATCCGACAGCGCGACATGCAGCGCAGACCGCGAGCGCTGCGAGCGCGCAAATTTACGCCGACGGTTCGGCCTGATCCCGATTGGAGCAGACTGTATGCCAGTTCCTCGCCCCAAGTGTGTTTTCAGTTAGCATGCTCACTTAGGCACGTGCCATATTTGATCCGCTTGATCCACTTGATCTACTTCACTAATGGTCAGTTCGCTAATTTGACCAATATCGAAATGGATGAAGCGGATCAAGCAGATCAAGTATGGCTGCCTTACACCCTTCTATCAATTCGGAGGGCCTCATATACGGAAACAGAATTTTTTGCTTGGAATTTGCATGCATGCAGGCACTGATAGACAGACGGAAAGACTAAATTAACTAGATTGTGAGCTTTATATATAGAATTGCTGTTATTCACAGAGACCTCATGGGAAAGAGGATTACGTGAGGCGCGTGAAGCTATGCGAAGAGCGTCAAAAAAGCGACAGGAACCTGAGTTTGAAACTAAACGATTAACTGCTGCACCCACTGGCGAACGACTGAGAAGTGTGCGTGATTCAGATTCGGACGATGGATCTACGTCACACAGGTAAACGCAGTGCTTTAATGCTGCAACGCAGAGCGCCGATATTTCATACTTCAGAACTTCATCACCATCAACTCGTCGTCACATACCATCGCTACTAGATATTACAACAGAGCCTCCGCGTTTTCGTCCAACTCAAAAAGGTACTACTTTTTTCCTATTTCTCTACTGGTAATGCAAGTGCTTAACGCAAGATTTGCTACGAGAATGATTGTTGTTTTGTCGTTTGTGTCGAGAACTTTGTCATGCTGTTTCGTCCTGAATGCTAGTGTTTTGTGCCAGATGGTATCCGTTGTGCTACTCGTGGCTCACCACGCTATTCTGAGGACGACGACCAGCCGTCATATTTAGACAGCGGAAGGTACAGAGATGTCGGCGGGTACAGAGAAAGGAGAGAAATCAAGGGTAGGGGAGATTTCCGCTCTGCTCTATCTAGTTCTGTTATCGAACCCATCTATTCCTTTCTTTACTCAGTGAAAATTGTGTCATGAAAGTTTCAGCTCGCGTTGCGTCTTTTTTAGCTTCAGCTATAAAGTGGCAAGCACAAGAATAACAGCGATGAAAAATAACCGCTAATTTGTGTATTCTGCGTTCGATCATGTAGTCATGCTTTGCAAGTATTATCAACTAACTGCATGTTTTCATGGTCACGTATTGCTCACCTTGTTGACTATGTAGAATATTTGAACATCTTCTGAATGCAGATGTTTTCTGCATTATAGATCTGGGACCACAAGTGCGGTACCCATGTGGGCGACCTCAACCTCGTCGGAACGAAGGCAGACGAGGTGGAGGTGGTGATGGCCGTTCAGATAGGAATAGGGATGCGGTTCATCGTCCTAAACGTGATGTATCTTCAAATGCTGACTCCAGATCGAATAAGCGGATGAGGTGGGTAAACGATTTTTCACTCAAATAGCTACTGGAATTTATACTCTTGAAGAATATCTCCTTCGCTCGATGCTTCACCCATCAGCAGCGATTCATCGCTTTCACCAGAGAGAGGCTCTCGCAAGAACATTTCTGCGAGCGAAAAAGGTGGTGATAAGACAGGTGGGATGGGTATTTTATGTCTCAAATACAGTTTTGCACAGACAATTGCACTATTGATCAGGTGAAAACTTACGTTGTCAGGTGGTAGTAGAAAGCCGATTTCAAGCGGAAGTGCGATGGGAAATGTGACAGATCCGTGGGCGCGCAAAAAGAAAGCTAACTCAGCAAAGAATAAGGAAAACGATGGGAAGCGAGGAAGAAGATCGTCAAGTAATAGCTCGTAAGTTACGATATTCATCGTTTTTTTCGTTCATCCACAGGCATTGCTTTGAGAATATAGACATTTTTTTTAGAAGCAGTTCGTCTAATAGTCGCGAAGAATCGAAACGTGCTCCACCTACGTCTGGTGGTTCCCGAAAGTCGCACAGTCCCTTCAGCAACAAGGTTAAAAACTTTGTCCTGTTCTGATTTCTACTATTGCACGTGCGTTCTAGAACGACAGAAGGCTTTCACCACCTAGGGGTGATATCACTGGATTTCGCATCCCAAAAAAGCACCGCTCAACAGAGAATCGCAATCGCCCATCCAGGTTTGTGAATGCTCACGCGATGTACTGACGTTGCTGAATAGATCGTTTTTAGCGCCGCGCGTCCAGTCAGCGAACACAAAGGAAAGATAGCCGACTGCGCTTTTGGAAAGAAACATGTGATTCATAAAGTAATTTGATAAGCTCCTGTTATGTCATAATGTTGTTCAGAAGGAGAGCAAGAAAATTGAACACGATCGCATTTCTGATGACGATGCAGTAGTAGATGGAATTGATAGCCACGGTGCGGAGAACATTAGTGATGTGAGGTTTACAGATTGTTTTTTTTTGTCTTAAATTGAGCACTGTTAATTAATTATGGTAAACAGCGCTGTTAGCGCTGTTCACCATATCTGTTTAATTTGTCATTCTTTTTCTACGGGGAACGTAGTTTAATCGTTTTCATTCATAGTGAGCACTAACTTCTATTCAGTCCGATTCGGCTCGTTCCGTTTCCCGAAGCTCCTCTGTATCCTCTTCGTCCTCGACCTCCTCCCGAAGTCGATCACCTTCACCTGCCCTACCTGCAAAGTACAGAACTACCAGTGCTGTAGATGATGCTTCGTCAACAAAGTAAAGACCGCGTACCCGCTTTTGGTCGTAATCTAGTTACTTCTGATTTAGAAATGCGACGTCCATTTCGAGTTCAGATGATGAAGGAAAGAAAACTCACAGTAAAAGCTCATCGAGAGAGAAAACAAGAGAAAAGTCACCGCAGCTGAAAGAAATGTGAGGTTTCGAGTAGTTCCTCATCATGTTGCGTCGTTGAACCTTTATTTTAGCTCACCGTCTCCATCACCTCCACCTCCCCCACCACCTCCAGATGAAAGCGCCAATCGTCATCATCATACAGACAAATCTGAAACACCTCCACCACCGCCGCCACCTCTTCCTCTCATCAATGAGTTTGCCCTGGAACGACAACAGCGGAAGCTTCGTGAAGCAGAAAAAAGGGTTGCTGAGGTGACAAAAACGAAACGTTCAAAAAGTCCTCCGAAGAAGAAAGCCAAAACGAGCAGCGAAGGTTCGAATATGATTTTTGGGAATTACCATTGATTTTTCAGTTCTTTATGTTTGTTAAAATCCTTGATATGGCTTCGTATATTGCTTCTTCAGCTGTTTTTGTTCCCTTATTTTCTGGTGTTTGCAGGTATGACCGAAAAGGAACGACGGAAACGCGAGCTTATGGAACAATTACGGGCGGTGGAAGCGGAGTTGAAAAAGAGGACTGCGGCTACTTCTGCACTGTAAATAGTTATGTAGTCATGTTAAGCCACAATATTTGAGCCGTTTCTCCTGAAGCTGTGATTTCATGGTAGTGAATCTACTCTCTCGCGACTTTTCGTAGATAATTACAAATTTTATTTATTTGATGGAGTGCATGGAAACGCTTTTCGTTGTTGCAAATGTCTACGCTCAGAACTGTATTGTCTCAAAGTTTAACATAATATTAACATTTTTTGATTTTTTGATGTATTCAAAGCGGTTTTATTTTAATTCTTGACGCTTTTGTGACGTGAAATCAGATTCTGTAGTACTTGGCATACAGTTATCGTCTAGTCAGTGCCTAGATTATCTTTTTGGTTATTTCACACGCATTAACCTTGTTTAACTTCGTGTTGTCAACGTTTCCTTTAGAGGCAGCACTTGATTTGCTTTTTTTCTCATTTGTTGTACTAATGGATTGAGCCGTCTTCTCAATGTGCGCGGCTGATCACAAATTGTTTTTGGTCACGGTGTTTATAAATATGAGCTTCTTCGTGTAGTTAATTCCATCTCCGACCTCTTGATTTCGGTGCTACATCGTTTTATATTTCTTTGACATTTCTTTAATTTCGTTCCGAAAAAGCGTCTAGTTATTGTTGTCTGGACAACCCACAAAAGGCACCGCTTAGAAGCACTCTCAATTTATCCTCAACTCCTACGTTGACGGTGGGCCGGTCTTACGACCAATGATGTGGGAGTGGTGCGGTAAAGCATAAGCTAGAACGTTATTAGTTGTTTTACAGAATGGCCAAGCAAGATGAGGAACAACGTCTAGGTGTTCTTCATCTTGAGAAAACACATCGCAATAAGAGAAATCCAAAAAGATTCAAGAAGACAAATTTTACACGAAGTGCACTTACCGAGGAGGACAAGAAAGCGCTAACGTTTGTAGAAATTTGTTGCTTTGAATCGCTTGGTTCTCACCCTGTTACATCTCCAAGCCATTATTTATAGTTATGCGAAAGTGGAGCCGCTGTATCAGATGTGGTGCGAATACTATCGTAGTTTGTTAGGCGATCAACAAAAAGCTCCGGACGAGCGAATGCTCAAAGCAGACTATCATGGGGCTTTGGTGTTAGTCGCAGAAGCTCACAATCCCACTATGGTAACACTTAACCTAAAATAAATTTTGTTTGATAGAATTGTTTTAGATAGGAATTGTTGGGATTATAGTGTTAGAAACGCGGCAGACCTTTCAATTGGTAACCAAAGCTGACAAATATGTTGGTGAGTATATGTCTTGTTTTATCTTCCTGAATGTTCCTTCATTTTTGATATCAGAGTAGCCGGAATGAACAATTATAATTTTTAGTGATCCCGAAGCAGGGTACAGCTTTGCAATTCATACTGGACGGACGTGTTTTTACCCTTTTCTGTGATGCGATGAGGTATAAACCGTCATTACGCGGCAAGAAACATCGACTACGCGTTGCTTTACCATTTTTCATTAGATAATGTTGACCTAACGCATCGAAAAATGTGTTCAAGAAGAATAAATAATTTGATTTTTCATTCTGGAAAGTTGAAATCTTTATCGTACATCTCATATCACACAAAAAATTGCCACAAAAGTAATTTGGCAGTACACGTATTTGACCAGAAAGTCATGAAAGACCTGAGCTATTGCCAGCACCTGTGTATGAAGTGCTTAGATTACTTCCGATTGTGATCGACATGATAATGTGCCAGCATGCTTGTTTCTGAAATTAAAAGTGAACCTGAGGATAGGTAAAATTGTAATTATCTACGAAAAGTCGCGAGAGAGTAGATTCACTACCATGAAATCACAGCTTCAGGAGAAACGGCTCAAATATTGTGGCTTAACATGACTACATAACTATTTACAGTGCAGAAGTAGCCGCAGTCCTCTTTTTCAACTCCGCTTCCACCGCCCGTAATTGTTCCATAAGCTCGCGTTGAAGGAGTGCTGAACGATATCTGAAAGAAAAATTGTTTCTTTCAGTTATTCTGTCACAAAAGATTTCTTCTGTACAATGACTTGAAGAGAAATCAAAGTATTCTTCTTGGTCTCTTTTTCTTCTTAAAGGCAGCGTCCAGGCAGATCTGGACCTATGGGGCTTTTACGTGGAAACCATTTTTGGGGCCCTAACTAAGGCAATGCCCAAGCGGCAGCTCATGTAGTGCTCTATTGGCTGAGATATTCCCCTCGAAACTGGCCCCCGCGAACGCATTCGCATGGATTCATGGCAGTTTCGCGCCAGGATCCACGCTTTGCGCCATGAATCCATGCGAAACACGGTCGCGGGGTCCAGCTTTGAGGGGAATATCTCAGCCGTTAGGGCATACCTGAGCTGCCGGTTGGGCAGTGGCTTAGTTAGGGCCCCAAAAGTACTTTCCACGTAAAATCCCCATAGCTCCAGACTTGCCTGGACGCTGCCTTTAACACCCATTTTTTGAAACAGAAAGGCAAATGTAAATAATCCCAAGGATGTGTCCACATTCTGATTGTTGAATCTAGATATCTATATTGTTTTTAGAGTATAAAAAGGCTGGCTTGGAAATAAATTCACATAAAATCGTAGCTACTTCCTGATAGAAGTTTTTTAAAGAATTTTGCAGCAGAGAAACTGAATTTGTTGCACATATCAACAACTTGAAGGTGCTCCTACAGTCTATCTCAATCGGAAGAGGCCGCATTGCGCGCACGCAGCGCTAGGGGTCGCGCGTAGTTGGAGTGAAGAGATTGAAGAGAGAACAGACTTAGGTCAACGACTGGACTCCCGGCATGGCAATTTTGGCTTGATTAGGACCGGTACAGACTATAATTCATCAGGACTTTTGGAGATGCTGAATTGCAGTTTCTCCCCAGTTTTTTTTTGATTAACTGTGCGTACATGATAGCGTCCCTGACGAAGGCGGGTAATCGAATATGCGGAGCGTTTGCGAGCGCAGCGGCCGACTGTCTTCATCAATATGATCATTAACGCTTTACGTCTGGCTTCGTGGGCAGCGGTTTTCTTTCGGAAATAGGCTTCACCTTTATTTGAGGTGGGGTGCGGAGGGGGAGGGTCTTCCATAATGCAACTGATCTTTTTGTTCGTAAATGAGTAAGCGCGGGTAGTTTGAAGTTCGCTCCGGGATTAAGGTCTGCGAAAAGGCAGTCTAAAATGAGAGTGCTACTTTTTCGCACGAGAAGTTTCATGACATTTGGAAAGCATTGACAGAAAGGCCTTCTCGTAATGAAGGATTGCGCGCACTTCAGTGGCATAAAGCGGTAGGTTAGACTCTAAACAATCTGCACCAGTGTGTAGTCTTGCGATGCGGATGCGCTGCGTGCACGTCGTCTAGTGCTCATCGCATAGTTCAGCTTTATGTTTACGCTTCGTCATCATTAACATACAGACCGATGCTATGGTTGAGCTACTTCCTTCTCACAAGTATTTGTCATGTTAATACAGGAGTTCGCGTGTCTATGCGAGCCTTTTCGTTCTACGTGCAAAGTTCTCATTTTCGTGTTTTTGACTAAATCGTAATTACTTCTGCGGAAATGCTATTATTTACAGAATTGATTCTTACCTTCTACACATATGCTTGTGGAAGTTTTTGAGAACCCTTGACAGCAATCACCAGTGTAGAACGATGTATTCGTGGCGACATTGAAGATGTAGCTGGAGTAATGAAGTACCCTCGATATCATCCCATATGTCTTCCCTCAACATGACGTGGATTACGTGGCTTGATGAGGCGCCGCCTCGCTTTGGGCACGCGCCACGTTGCGTGCGCATCTTCGGCGTGATGTGGCAACAAGAACAACATGGAAAAGCCTTGCGCCACGTTGGTTTGAGCGCCACGTCGCGCCAAACGATGCGCTCGCAACGTGGCGCAAGCCCGAAGCGAGGCAGCGCCTCATCAAGCCACGTAATCCACGTCATGTTGAGGGAAGACATATGGGATGATATCGAGGGTAAGTTGTACTTTTTTCTTGGAAAGACTGTAAGACTTCGTTTTCCCCATCATCTCGGAATTTACGGCTGGTAATATAACATTTCTCGGAATTTTTTGGATTGTGAAGTGAGTGATGAGTTGTTTTGAACTTCTGTGCTGTGAGTTTGAGTTATTACGAAAAGTGTGTTCCTGACTATCATGACAACTCAAAAAATATGAGAAGTCGGCAGTCCTAACGTCCCGTGAAGTTAGTCGAAGAAATACACACTATTCGCATTTTCGGCTATCGTTCTCGAATTCTCTGTAGGAGGTGATATGAATGTCGAGTGGCATTCTTGAACCAAATAGTATCGCCGATTCGAGCGCACGGACTGGACATTACTGCGGAGCACGCGCCGCATGGTAAAACGCTTTCCCAGTTACAAATTCGCCATTGTACAAATTGTGCTCTCGGAACTTTTTAGCCACGCGTGCGTGCTCCGCAGCGTTTGAGCATTCCTTGCGGTCAACGAATCGACGATGCATTCCATCGCTATAGCGCTAATAGCTATTGCTGATCTTCATGATAGAATACGACGCTTGTCGCGGTCGCGCGCGACTCGAACCTCACGAGCCCCGGGCTCTCCATATGAGACAGAGGGTGAAGGCTCCCTGACGAAGGACAAAGGGCTTCAAGTCGGCACCTCCCTCTCCACTAATGCCCGCCCATTCGTGCGCGCCTAACCAATTTACCGTTCCGGAGAACAGGTCTGCGGGTTCTGCGAAATGGGGATTGTCGGGGATTCTCGACTTCGTATCCGGAATCAGACATGAGAAGGTCCCGAAACGACCAAAACATGGAAGTCGAGGAAGTCGAGTTTGGGGGTACGGTGCCTTAGAGTCTGTTATGTCTGATTGTGGAATTGCACACTATAAAAAGAAGATGTGTTGTTTTATACTGGGGACGGAATTATTTTTCAGAGTGAACTACTTAAGTTAAAAATCATCTACGTAGCTTTTTCATCTATCTAGTCTACATATTTTTTTGCAGTTGTAAAATTTTTTTTCACTGTTGTAGCTGCCGCTTCCAAATATTTGTAGATTATAAGCAGTGTGGAGCGGTCAGACCACCATCGTTCATGTATGCACCTACGTAAACGACCTCTTCTTCCTCCCCCTGCCTCCAGAAACTCAACAAAAACGATCAGGACAGAATACCTTCGCTTTTGATTTTTTGGAGGCTCTAACACAATTTTCCGCGATTGCACTCGATGCATGGTACAAAACGGAGAAGTTCTCTAACCCAATGACGACGACGCCTAAATTTGCCTGGCGGCGCTGTGGGACGACGCGATTTTGCGCAACACTTTCGGCGTGAGAAAGTTCTGTGATTGTTTACGAAGTTATTTTGTAAACAACTACAATCATCTTCTTGGACGACAAAGTCCACTGGTTCCAAGCGTGCAAAAAACTGGAAAAAATGCTGAACTGTGGAAAAAGACTAGAGCTGGAAAGGATTTGATGCAAGGGGGGGGGGGTAGGCCACCGGAGGTCCACACCGTCCCTGGCGTTAAAAAGTGCGTGGGCCACCGATGGCCCACATCGTCATCAATGGGTTAAAGGCACCGTCCACCCTAAGTTGAGGGTGGTGAGCTTTTGGCAGCATATAATAGTAGAGTCCTCTGTCAACCCATGCCCAAGTCGAGGCGCAAAATGTCGCTTCGAAAGCGAGAAAATCACTTCGGAATAGCGAAGATGCACGAGGACCCCCATCCAGGCCCGCCCTCTTTTATCCATGCCCGCCCATTTGTGCGCGCCCATCCAATCACCGTTACGGAAAGCCGGCCTGTGTGTTCTCCGGAACGGGGATTATCGCGGTTTTCGCGCATTCTCGACTTCATATTCGGAATCAAGGACTTGAGAAGGCCCTGAAACGACAAAACGTAGAAGTCGAAAATCTGGGTGGATGGTGCCTTTAAAGGCAGTGTCCAGGCAAATCTGAGCATATAGGTTTTTTGCCTGGAAACTGTTGAGGAGGTTCTAGCTAAGGCACTGCCCAAACCGCAGCGCAAATAATTCATTCATGGCTGAGAAATCCATCCATAAACAGTACGCGGCTGCGCCGTGACCGTACTTAGGATGGGTCCAGCGCGAACGTAGTGTTAAAGTGAGCTAAGTCGTTTTTGGGTTACGCCATGCGCTCAGATTTGACAGCCTGGACACTGCCTTCAAAGTGAGAGGTTTCAATACGACCCTTAGCTCGGGCGTGCGGCCTGACTCTGATTATGAGCTCAGAAGTCTGAGAAGCATTCGGTAAATTCTGAGGATCATGTATCAAACTGATTCCAACTGCTTATAGGGAACAAAAAATCTCAAAGTAGTCTTATCACCTACATCTTTCCATCCATGCATTTTTTCATACCATTTATTGGCCGACCCAATGCAGACGGAAGTGGTAGTAAAAATAGCTCAATCATTATCTGGAACGATGATAATCAGCCTGAAAATTCCGATAGAGTTGAGAAACATAAGTGAAAGAGATAAGAACTATGCAGCAGTTATATGGACCGCAAGTTTCACGGGAGTTGGTGGAAAGGTGATTCGCTCTCAGTGTCGATCGAAGGCTGATAGTGAACATATATAGAAAGCTGTGCGTATGAATATAGATATAGCTTGGACAACAAAACACAAATCATACAATAGCTGACAGTTATTACTTTCTGTTTTCTGTTTTGTTGAGGAGAGTGTCGGATTTTGTGGTTAACACGGTTTTTGCTATACAAATTCAGGAACATTGTTAACACTTGCTAGCGTGTAGAATGTATGTCGGAACTCAAGTATTACTACACTTTTTTGTCGTTTGCAAAAGTTTGGAACTGGTAAAGTCTCATATGGAATTCTAAAAAAGGACAAAAAGCTCCACTGAGTTATGTTCTTGTAGGATAGGAGTTATAGCGATGTGAGGGCTTTCTAACGGCATTGAGTTTAATAATGATAAGCAAGAAATTCAAAACCTTGAAAAACTTGCAAAAAATTCAAAGATTGAGTTTTACATGTGTTACTTGTGTCAAAAAGCTACAAGCCTTCACATAGATCTTCACGAAGATAGAGAGGAGGAGTCCATTCAGAAAGTTATAAAATTACTTTCTGAATGTAAGAAATTATGTTTTGAAAATGCTAATTTTCAATTTGAATGAAGTCTGCTGTCAAAACTCGAAGCTGAAAGCTCTTAACTTATAGAAATCGCCCAAATTTTGATATAGATGTGCACTTCATAAATGTAAGGATTTGTGGTTACTTAGTTTCCTTAATTTTTGCATTATACTTCAACCCTTAATTATTGAAGCTTATCAATTAGAAATCTTATGCGGGGCTGGAGCGCCTCATTCTCCTCAGCGGGAAATTTCGGAACTGTTGAATTACATCGCTACGCCCTCGAGCATTGATATTGCTTAAAAATGTTGAAGATATTGAAGTGATGAAAGAAAAGCCAAAAGCTGCGAAGCAATGACGGTCAATATAAGAACTTTAGGTGTGTACATCACAGAATTTTTTCAGCTGATTGGTGACGCTCATGTCTGTAAGTATAAGCTTATCAGCAAGATTGGTGATGCATTTAGTGCTTCTGCCACAACTGACAGATAAGATAACAGGGTTTTTTTTAGACTGCGTAGTTAGGGCAATGGTGCTAAGTCGTATATTCTAAGTCCTTGAAAAAAGCGTAAGTTCATAAATGATTTTGATGAGTAACGAGTGAAAGAAAACTTTTGGTTTTTAGTCTTATATCGTCTGATTTGGATGTCAAGTCGATTCATTACCGTCTCATTTTCTGAGCTTTCTATAATAGTTTGCTTTTTGGCAGGAATTATTGTGGATGTTCCACACTTTCTTTGCTGCGAGCCTTTATTTGAAGGGTCCTAGTCATGCCGAACCAAAAATTCACGTAGTTTTATCATTAACAGGAAACAGCTCGTTAAAATTTGTGAGATGATTCACAGTGTTTCCGGAATATTTTTTCAAAACTTTTATTTCTGTAGTTACCGCCCCTACGCGGCAACGTCGTAGGTCATGGGCTTGGAATTTCAGTCGCTAAGAAAAAATGCCTCTGTTCTCTCACATGAGCCACACTGACATGATGACGTTACATAGAAGTAAATTCTATAATTTATTTTTTTAATTTCACAGCTACAAAGTAAAAAATATTTTTTTGAAATCAATGATTGCCTTAACTGTAAAATGAGTGTCGATGTTGTTTATTGCGTATGCGAGAATACTAGAATATCTGAACTTGTGGATTTGTAATGGCTACTTGGATTGGAAAATTTCGAGACTGCATGCAGCTGAGAAGAAAAGAAATGTTTTGGTTTGATGTGATTGATGGGAAAAAAAAACTTAGTTATGAATTTTGTTAGAGAAGGAATTTGCGGAATTGCTCATTATTTCAAATTCAGTCCTTCTGCCATATAGGAAGCCAATTAATTTGGAATAAATGAAGTCAGAAAAGCGCCGATAGACTATTAAATATGCACTCTTCTACACATTGTTATCAATCTCTTACTGCTTGTATGATTGTTAGACTCAACTCAGTACCCAGTGTAAGCAGAGCAAAGTCTCTTAGTTATTAAATGTTTATAAGAGAACGTGTTAGGCTTCACATTTGGGGTTTCTTATGTTTTAAACCATCTGATCGGCTTGTGGCTAGTAATAAGCAGAAAATTGGTTATATGTTTTTGTCAAAAGCAATCGAATTTGTCACTACGATTGTGATGCAAATTTATAGCGTAGCCGTGAGAAACATTTTCCAAATTGTAGCCATGGATCTATGCTTTGTACTCTCAAACAAGATTCGGCAAACAACTCTCAAACAAGATTCGGCAAACATTAGTCTGAATCAAAATGCAAGTATGGAAGTTTAATTTTGATTTCAACTTATCTTGAGCAGTCTGAGTCGCATGAATGATATAGCATAGAAGAAGCGGTTATCGAACGTAAAAAGGAAAATATCTGCGTGGTGTAGGTGGGAATTTGTGCGCAAACCTGGTGCGCAAACAAAGGCATCGAAGCGGTTGTGAGTCCGCGAGACTAGCTAGGATTCACTAGTCGCCGATCCTTGGTTTTCGCTGATTACCAGGTGAAAATGCATGTCTCACATGATGCTCGAGCTCAGACTCGATGATCTTTGGCTCATGGTTGAATTATGAAATGCTGCAATTTTGTTAGGAATTCGAATTCAAGTGAAAATTTTGTAAAGTCCGTAAGACATCACTGAAAAATGGGTTTTGCTTCTCAATAATCATTTTTGAATGTTTGAAGTTTTTCGGTGATGATGTCCATGGAAATAAACTGACTAGTTTCGCCTTATCATTTGAATCACAAGTGAAACTTCAAGTTGGTGTATGGAGAACATAGGAGCGCTATCGTCCCATGATAAAGGCACATTTTGTGTTTTCTGCTCTAAGATTGTCATGTTTACGATGCGACAGCTTTCAGTCGCTGTCACTTACATTGATCCAGAGTACAGCTGGTACTGTCGAATAAAGAATAAAGCATGTCCTTGATTTAATTTTCCTAACCTGCAATTTCAAAAAAAGATATATATTCTGAGATGTCCCAGCTCCTCCGCCCATCCAATCACCGTTTCTGTGAACCCACAGGCTGGTTCTGCGGAACGGTGATTGGATGGTCGCTCACGGATGGGTGGGGTTTTTGGAAGGGGGCGGGCCGACTAGGGATCCTTATGCTTCTTTACTATTCCAAAGCGATCTTCTAGATTTGAAGCGTCATTTTACGCCGCGACTTGAGCATTGGGTTGACAAGGGGTTCTGCTGTCGTAAGCTGCCAAAAGCTCAAGATCGCTAGCTTAAGGTGGACGGTGCCTTTAAGATTTAGAATTTCATTACTTCGATATCTCTCAAGGACCTAAGGAGAGCATGCACAAAAATGCGTTCTAAGTAGCGTCTCTTCGAACAGAAATGAAATAAATGCACAACAAACTGAAAGGATATGCGAGTAATGCAGAACATTATTGTTGTTGAAATACTTTACCAAACGTCGATACTCATTTTTGAGGCTTCGCAGTCATCGTTAATATCTGCGGAAGCCATTTGCTATCACTTGAAGGATTCTTTTTGCAAAGAAAGAGAAAGTCTTTCTGTAATGGCCATTAAGTGATTCAGACCGTGTAGTGTTGCTTTGAATATTAACTCGTAGAGCACACTCTGATTACCACAAGGCGTCGCAAAGTTCTTCATTTCAGTTGTACACGCGGATTAGATTTTTTTTGAAAGGGTCAGCAGCATTCAACGATTTAATGAACGGGAGATCTTTGCAAGAATGATCTCAGTGGAAATGCAAAGTGGTTTTCTAAAGAGCTCGCAAAGTTCTGTTTTTTTTTTCAATTTTTTCTCAAGTATAAATGCTATGAAGTAGTTACGCAAATAGGCGGTATAGACATTAAGGGAAGGAGATCATGTCCACGAAATATAGAAAACTACAGCTGTAATGAGCTACCACAACTAGCAAAAAGCCATTTTTGAAGCACTACAGAGCAGGTGAAATAGCTAGGCTAGCCAACGCGTTGCCATAGTCGTCCGTGGAGTGCATTGAGAACACTTGACGAATGAAGTCAGTTGTCCTGGAAGTTACATACTCTGATGCTAGTATTTTTGTAGGGAGTGCATGAGAGCGTGCGCGGTATTAAGTTTCACCTTCCAGTTTTGCTGCTGTATGCTAAAACTTGAAGGAGGTTTGCAAAGTTGCAAAAGAAGCATCTGTACTACGCAGCATCGCAGCGCATTCACCTAGACAGTTGTGAAGAACACTAATTTTTATTCAAACAGATATTGAGTCAAAATTAGGGTACACGGTCGGACATCGAATCAAAAGGTTAATATGACGTTGTGGTATTGTTTGAAAAATCTTTCCTTCCTTTTTCATTTGACAGTTAACTTTCCTTTCATTAGAATAAATAACTAGATTCAATAAAAGATCTTTCGGCCGATTGCAGAGGAGGTATGACAAAAAGGAAAGAAATAGAGCGACATCGTTCGTGACACGAATATCTCAAGATAGTCGTCTCCAAGGCATATATACTACTTTCTGAAAGCAAAGGACGAGGAGGTTTCGATGATGCTGTTCACGTTGGTCTATTTGTTCATATGCGGAAGTATTATTTTTAGTCCTGGAAGTCCTGGAAGTCGGTAAACCTCTAATCATCAAGTACCAAACAATCCATATGGTATATACATGTATTAGGTTGGCACATAAGTTTTGCAACTTTTCCCGTAACTTTTTTCCTATTTTATGTAGCAATCTCATTTTGTGGCATCATGTAGATCGTGATGTAAGCTGCAAGTCTGCGCAAACCTTTTGATTTTTGATAACGTAGTACAAAAAATCTAAGCATTTTTGAAAACTGCTGAAAATCGAGGTTTCACGATTTTTTGGCAAACATGAAGCCCTACGAAACCTGATTCAAACATGTGAAAAAGCAATTATAGGCAGCATGTAGCTGAAAGTTGGCACATTGGAATCAGTGAAAATGAAATGGAATTTAAACACAAATTAAGGTGGGGCGCCTTTGAGAAGTTGAACAAGTCAAATGCGTCAAGTCTTGAAGGCAATTTGTCAATAACTAAGCTGCGAAAAGTCAGAATTCGCTATAACTTTGCACTATAGAGTAATCCTATGCGGTAAACACGAATATCATATTCATTTGTCGCTAAAATGAAATTCATCTTTTGATCTCACGAACGAGGCTTTTTCATGCGAAACGGATCTCATTTTTGTGATCAGCATGTCAAATAAGCCCTATAGGCCAAGTTTCAGCAAAATCTGATGCATTTTTAAATTTTTCCCATAGTACCGTAAACCTACCGTAATCCTCACATAAGATGGTAAAGTTCGGCAAAAATGTGTGCATTAGAAGCTTACATCATATTCCTTATATTGCCAAAAAATGAATGCGCTACCTTCAAATAGACAAAAGTTATATAAAAAGTTGCATTACTTATGTGCCAACCTAATATTTTCTGAAAGCGGAGGGCGAGATTCCGGTGAGCAATCGCTGTTGCTGCTGATAGAAATTGAAATTTTTCCTTTTTGATATGGCAAAATTCATGGAGGTCGGTACTTATCATTTTCTTTTACACGTCAACTTTGGGTTTGTTAAATGCGAACCAAGAAGGATGCCTTCCCTGATTGTACTGTTCATGCTTGGAGGTAGTGTAATACTGCTCACAGTCAGTGACAGGAAGTCGCCAGCTCCACCGAAGTGCGGCGACATCCGCGTCGCATCGCCCTATCTTTGCTCTAAGTCGACGGAATCTGAGTCCAAAGGCATCGTTCGACTCAGCTTGGCGAGATGCATCTCTGCTATATGAAAGTGCCCGTATGGATAGGTAGGCGGTCAGATCTTACGAGTCTTTGAATTTTTGCGTACGGTAGGTTACTCAGTGAGTGCAATAAATAGGCACATTGGGTGATCTACCGCAAAGATCTACGATTAGTAGAATCTGAACGCCCTGCGTCTAAGCGGCGCTTTTCTGTTGGACGATGCTTTTGGCCCAGCGGAGTCGAAGGTTGTCAATCAGGTTTGGCGACTTTTTTGACTAGTTGTATAGTTTGACTAGCGGTATTGTACGATTCGACGTGTACTGCTCAATTAGAGCATCCAGAGCTTTTAGTTACCTAAAGTATTCGCTGATCGCGCGCAGTAAGCACGCGTCTGCCGTAGTTCAGTAAGAAAACCTTATTTATTGGAATGGGTATAGCAGTTTTGATCAGCACCTCGGATTACGCTATCTTAGCACCGAGACAAATATGAAATGTGTAAAAAAGGCTAGAACCTTTGAAATGAGTTATCAGCAAAGTGAGAGAGGTAAAATAAATAGATCGCTTTGCTATTATGGTATGAGAGTACCTTTTGCGGCCATGATTCATCGAGCTGCACACAATGCTTTCTCAGACCAAAATGTGAATTGGCGCCTCATCGAAGGAAGGAATACAATCGACGTCTTGTGGTGTAGGTACTGCTCTCTCGCTTACTGAGTAAATAAATGCGCCAGCTGAAACTGATACCGCCAGGTGTATGAACTTACCAATTTTGCATGCGTTTGCGTCACTGCCTCATGCTGTTCATGCTGTGCTTTGTACTCTGCGAAATTTCATCTGCAGGTCCGGTTACAATTTCCACTCTAAGGTGAAGGGAATGGCAGGGCTAGACAAATTGTATGCGTGCGAGCCTAGTACTGACTACTACTGACTTGCGAGGGTCAGCCGTTTACCAAGTCAGTGCTTTTATCCTCCCAGCTTATTCTGGTACCAATCTAACCGGCCCCGGAGGGTAGAGGGCTTGGTTGGCCCACGAGCGGAGATCGAACCTGTGTCCGATCTGATCATAGCGGCGCCTCGTACCACTACGCCAACTCCACGTCCCCATTTCTTCATTCATATGGAATTGTTTTAAGTAATCCACAACCAAGTTGTCGTTCAACATTTGCGTGTAAGAAATTTTGGGGTTTTCGAATACCGCTCATCGTTTGTCAAAAAGGTTACCTGACTCCGCTGGAGTTCACTGAAACCCGCGTCGCATCGCCATATCTTGGTTCGGAGAAGACGACTTCGGAATCCACGAGCACCGTTCGTCCTTGCTCGGCAAAGCTCTTGCTGTGTGGACGTTCCTGTTTGGATAAGGAAGGCGGTCAGATTCCACGCATCTTCAAAGTTTTTGCCTACGTTAGATTATCCAGCAAGTGAGCACACTAACAATAAGCAACATACCGTAAAAATTTAAAGATTTGTGAAATCTCACCTCCCATCATGCAACTACCGTATTCATCAGGGCACTTCTTATATCAGAAGATGCGCCTTGCCGAGATGAGTCGGACGTCGTGAGGATTCCGTATTTGTTTTTTCTGAATCAAAATATCGTGGTGCGAGGTGGATCGGTGAACTCAGGTGGAGTTCGGTGATTTTCTGGCCATTTATGGGCAATAGTGCGATATGTTAGGCCACTCTGTTCCTAGCTCCATAATCACGAGTTCAAACCTTGAAACAATAGAGCTTTTAGAACATATTTTCGCTTCCAGTGACTGCTGGTAGAGCAGTGGCCATTTTTATACTAATACTATCCAGTGAGTATCTATGCACATGCTTTTAACGAATTACGTTTCATTCACGAATTATCAATTGCTTTTCCAATTTCTTTCATTGCATCTTTTGGGGAAGTTTTCTTTTTAAGAGTTCTCCATCTTTTGCTTTACAAAAGATGGAAAACTCTTGAAAATAGAAATTGCATGGAGTGAACCATATAAGCGTTATCTCAAAAGATATTGAACGTTTGATCTTTGATAAATTTCTTCCTGTATGAAAACGCGCGGTGCTTCAAACATCATGAAGTAGAACTGGAATTACACTCAGGGCTCAGCAGAGATGGCGTTTCAACAAGCTGGATATCGTTTTTCGAGGGGAAGGCAAAAGGGAACCCGTAGTTTCCACCTGATGAAATATTAGGAAGCATAACTCTAAAGCATAACTCTAATTCTTAGCAAGCCGAATTTGAGGTGCAACCTAATTTCAACAGTTAAAGGCCGTACACCCAAAATTTCGCCTTCGATGTTTCTGTCATTCTGGGGCCTTTCCGTGCCGCTGATTACAGTTATGTCATTGAAATCCTCCAAAAGTCCCAAAAAACCCCGATTTTCGGGGACTCTCTCTTCACGGGGCGGACGAGTTTCGAACTGCTCGTCCCCGTCGGCATGCCAGCAGCTGCAACAGCATGACAGCCTGCAGTTGCAACTGCAACTGCTGCATATGCTGTCGTGGTTCGTCGCCCGAAGGAGGCGCACCGCAAAAAGCAACTGCACTTTTGCAACTGCTGTTGCAGATGCAACAGCATTGCAACAGCAACTGCAACGGCAACTGAAGCTTACGCTGTCGTGGATTCGTCCGGAGGAGGCGGAGTGAAAGAAAAGGGGCGGAGTGAAAGAAAATGAGGGGGGTTTTCTCCGCTCAGAAGCAACATTGGGAGACCAGACCAACGCAGTTGGTCTTCTTCTGGGCCCCGTATATACAAGGTATAGAAAGATCTAGGAAGTTCGGTAACTTAGATTTTGGGTGTACGCTGCTTTCAAAGTTAATTAAAACGTTAGAAACATGACTAAAGCATAAACCTGTGTGCACACTATTTCAAAGTGTCAAAACGCAATCTTTACGCACTAGAATGTAAATCGGTTGTTTACAACGAGTAAGCAGCAGTAATAAGACCAAATTTGGTGTGTACTACATCTGCGGCGATGATCGAAAGAAAAGTGTGAAAGATTACGAAAAAATTATGCGAACGACAGAGTTGTAAGTGTTTTTCGATTTTAGGTTGCTCTCGCTCAACTTGGGAGCGCCCTAAGGTTGCGCGGGACCACACAAAGTCATGAATCTTCATAATTCCTCCCCTTCCTCACAAATTCCTAGATTTTTTTTCACATAAATCTATTCTTCAAATCAAGATCTAACTATGAGTACTCAACCCAAGTTCCACCACCTATGCTTTGTTACTGCTCTTGATGATATGAAAAAAGCTTTTTTTTGCATTTTTCAGATTTCGACTTATTTCTTGTCGTTTCTTCACCTCAGTTTTTTTTTCTTGGAATTCATTAGAGGAGATTCTACAAACACTACAAAAGGTATCTTGTATTTTTGTGCAATATCAGAGGGGACTTCGTTTTTGATTTGTTATGTCACCTCGTGCTGGGCCTGATTACAGTAGAGAGGATTGCTCCTTACTGTAAATCCATGTTCTATCTCGGCTACAGTAACAAAGAGTGATTTGCCGATCACTCTTTATCATTGTAAGATTAAGATAAAAATCTTGAGAAGGATTTTGAGACATTATTGAGGACCCTATTTGCCTCAGAAAGTAAAACAAACAACCTAAAAGCTACCGTACTGTACAGAGCCGCCAAATATGAACTTGGAATCTTGATGCTGCTTTCATCAAATATGTTAGTCATCAGTCATAGCTATTTTTACAATGCTTCTCAAATATTTTTTCACACTATTCAAAGCTTTACATCAAAAAAGGCTAAATTAATGAAATCAACTTGCGGGAAGGCCCCGCTTCCGAGACTTTGTGATGACCAGTATGCAAAATTTTTTGAATACTTTTATGGACCTCTGTATGTATATTAGGCTAGCATAAGCCATTCTTCATAATGGAGTAAGATTTCCGAGGTGTTTAGCAACTGAATCTCTGTTATATTTATCTTTTTTCCTTTATATTTTCACGATAACATTGATTCAGTTTTATTTCTAGTTTTGGTTAACAATCTGATTGCTATCACAGTAAATGAATAAATAGCAAATAAATACGCGATTAAATATCAATCACAGAATGTTCGGTGAGCCCACACCACCACCGAGAGTTTGAAGAGTTAATGCGATGACGGTGATGTGGGCGTCCGATAATCACAGATAACGACAATTGCGCTTATATCACAGGTAAATGGTAATGCAAAGGGTGGGAATGGGGGCGGGCGGGGGTGAATGGGGCGCGGTTTGTCACTCACTCTGAGCGAAAGACGAGCGAGAAAGACGAAGAACGAAAGAAGCAGCGAAGAAGAAGAGGAAGAAATGAAGACGTCATTATCGCACCCGAGTAGCAGTGTTTATTACATAGAGCACACGATAGTTATTGTTATGAATTATTACTGGAAAGATTGCAAGTGTGGGCAAATTTTGCGGGAAAGTGGAAACAACTATGGGGGCTGTGATATGACAGTAATAAAGAAGAACCCTGAACGACTACGGTAAGGCGTCGGCGCGGCGGAACGCTTTGGAGATCTCTCGATTTTGAGACAGCGATCACACCGACCGTACGACTAAATAGGAAAGCAAGGACGGAGGAATGCCCTGGGGAGGAAAAGGAAGAAGTGGATGAAGGGGAATTGAGGAGGAAAGCAGGTTGCAGGGGAGGAATTAGTTGAAGGTGCGCAGTCCAGAACGAGCACAATACATCATCACGTTCCAGTTGGACAAACAGACCAGGTCCGATTTTTCCAAGGAATTGATGCGATCGCCCGATGGCGCTACATTGCACATACGAAGGCACCTATCAAGTAATCCATTAGGTGCTGATAGGAGGTATAAAAGAATATTTGCTTACCTATCCCCAACACCCAATTCGGAGTTGGACATGCCAAGAAACTCGCAGCATTTGCGATTGTCGCGATTTTGATGGGCGCAGTACAAAATGGACGAAAGATACTGCAAAATTATTTGTATCATAGAAATCCAAAGTAGTGGATCAAGCAAAGAACGAAAGGAGAAGCTGCTAACCTTGAGCTCGCATCCATCTTGCTGTACTGCAGCTATCAAAGTCTCAGCCGCGACGTGTTCACGATGTTCATAAGTGCACAGCGAGTGACAATTAGTTGGCACCTGGATTATTCATGGTTTTAACCTTCCTATTTTTGTGGAAAGCCTTGAATAAACTTACATGCTGCTGACAGCAAGTCGTGAACACATCATCTACAGTTTTTCGAGCAAGGCATGGCGAATATGGTGGGCGAGATTTTTCGGTACCGCATTCAGCTGTGAGATCCGCGTCGGTAACCTCAGTGATCGGATACTCTTGATTCAAGAGTCTGCGATCACCGCCTGGAGGAGATGTGCAGATTTTAATGCTACAGAAGACGAGCAGAGAGTAACTCACCAATAGGTGCACGACGACGGTCGGATTTTTCTGTCCATACCTCGTCAACGGCAGGAGGACGAGGGCTAGTTTTTGGTAGGACAACAGGACGCGAACCTCTAATAGGCTGAACACCTTCAACCTAAAATAGTGCAATCTTTTTGAATGTACGTAACTCTTCTCAGCAGCCCTGAAGCTGTGTTAATGACAGGTTCAGTCTTCAGTTCACCCTCACCCCTCCCCCCCCCCCCCTGCTTCCTCGTTGAACCTTGGAAAATGTTTGCTATAATATCGGCGTTAACAGTAGCGGACCGAGCCCCCCCCCTCGTGCTGGAGGATGGGTCGCATTATTTTTGAGAGTATTACATGAGTTATAAAATCGCGCAGATGAATTATTTTTTCGCAAATGATTGAAAAAAGATGACAATCTTTTGGAAATTCAAATTTTCTTCCAGATTTTTTGAAGTAACGAGTTAAAGCTGACATTTTTCTGAGAATCAAAAATCTACGCTCTATACACAAAAAAGGTACATACCTTATTATCTGCAACAAGCTTCTTCTCCTCAATTCGATCGAATTTTTCTAATTTATGTGGGCATTTCTCCGTCGCATAGTCAATGCAACCAGTTAAGCATTTATCTGAAAAGAGAATAGCTTTGCATTTAAATAGTTTGAAGATCTTATAAGAAGCAAAAAAATCTTTCAAAAGGGTGGTCGCCAAAATTGTCATTAAAAATTACTTGAGAAAGGAAAAAACTCAAAATTTCCATTTTCAGATCATAATTACACGGTACTGCCTAGCATTTCTCTTTTTCTGCTAGATATTAGGTGCTGATTTCGGGAGGGAAAGGAAGGAAATGGGGGGGGGGGGGAGGCAACTTATACAATTAGTTCATGTCTTTAGTCAAAGCTGAAATATTGTCTCCCCTTCCTAGAATTGTCAGAATCGCATAATCTATTTTGAGCAGGCAAAAGACTATAGTCCAAAGTATCATTGTTCGCATAAATCTCTATCGTATCCCCGTATCAAAACGCAACAACGGCCTAATTTCTAGGGACCACGTGAGCTTCGCGTGTGCATAACGAGTTTCTCCGCCGTGAAGTCTGTATCTCTCACTTATCACCCAAGATCTTACGATATCTATTAGTGTTGTGGAATTGCTACAATGCAGAAGATTATAAAAACTCAAAGAACGTTTGATGATTGGAATGTTGCCAAAACAACATTTTACGTACGTCATGATGATTAAATGATGACTCACCTAGCACACGTTCGGTACAACACAGCACTTTTGGGATATCATGGCACTCGGGCAAATTAACGTCGCCACGAACAGAAGATGAATGAAGAAGAGTAATTACATGGATGACGAACGCAGATTGACAAAACCTGAAAAATGGTAATTTCATTGGAAAATTTATTTGCGAAACAATTCAATTTTAGTAGCAGTTCTCTAGCCTGCTTTGGGTAAAAAGTGAGGCTCGCAAGAGACAAAGTTCAGAATATTTCCCTCGACGCAAATGCTGGTTAGCTTCATATCATCTTGTGGCTTTAGAGTCTTTCTAGTTTGCATGGATGTTTTTTGTTTGTTTTTGAAAATTTGCGCGCTTCACAAGAACACTTTTTGCATTTAGCGCGTGTGCCTGCCCCATGATGACGTCACTATGAAGCTATCGGAGCCCCGGATCTGTGTATTTAGACAAAGCATTTCGAGGCTTTTTCTGAACCAAGCGGCAGTCTGTGAAAGTGCGTGGAGTTTGAACTGGCGAAGAAAAGCAAAGGCGCAATTCTCATGGTAAACGTTGCGCCTGCTGCTCCGTTCACGATTCACGTGCCTCTTTGACCCTGCGTGGTTCGAAAAAAGGTGCAAAATTGACATTACTGAGGCGCTTCTGGTTTTTGGGCATTATGTGTTGCAAACTGATCAATGAGAAAAATCTGGGAAGCGCAAAAAATCTGTGGATAACTTTTTCCGCATCGTGAGAAATGTGAAAAATGAAGAATAGCGCGAGACGGTGAGAGGAAGAGGAGGGGCGGGGAGGGGGAAGGAAAAAGCAGAGAGAGAGAGAGAGAGAGAGAGAGAGAGAGAGAGAGCGATTCCTGGGCAGAGGAAGCACTTAAGAATAGCTAAAGTGTGAATTTCTACAAAAACAGTAACAACTCCACCAAAAGATTCCCGTAATTAGTGCTACTTTCTATACAGGTTTGATTGTAATTTTTGTTGTGTATTAAGGAACTTCGAATGACTGTAGAAGTTTTGAAGTTTTTTTTGATAATTTTTTCTTGGATGTGAGGGTAGGTCAGATGATGCAGAGGTTTGATCTCAAAGGTGAATAAAAGTCGATGACACTGTAGTGATTTTAGAAAATGGCACGTTTTTCCCCAAAAAATCAATGCTTGCACATTGCTCGCACTCTTATCCCAACTTGGCTACAAGTCATTTTTTTTCTGTTTCTTATCTTTTCACGACTTTCTTTCTTTACAAAGATAATCTCAAAGATAATCTTTGTACTCATTGTATAACTTAGTACAAAACACCAAATTTGTTTCCTAATGGTGGAGCTGTAGTCAAGAAGAGATTGAAAATTTCGAGCTGTCAGCTAAGAGTTGCTAAGTTCGTGATTGCTAGAATGGAAAACTTTGCTGTGCACGAGCTTTCTTTTCAAACTGATTATGATTTTTCAAAGAACATATTTCAAGGAGAAGAAATGGAGCCATCTTGGGTTTGCATTACGGTGCCTTTTCACCATATCGAAAGGATTGGGACGGTACGTTTTTTTTCCACATGATAATCATTCAGAAAATCTTTAGGATACTGTAAATAACTTATACCAGTTTCTGATAGAAATAAAGAACGAAAACAAAACCATTTTTTACAAGTAGTATTTCCAAAGTGAGGTTCGTTCATTAGGCTTATACGTTCCAACAAAGGGATTATCAATAAAAGCAGCCAGGTTTGCCACAGATAAGGGTACTATTTCGTTATTTCTCTATTTGTTCGTTGTTTGAATCTTCTATAAAAAATTGGTATAGATATACTTTTGCCTCCTCTGTCATACTTCTGCCCCTCTACAGTACTTATCCCAACGTAAAAGAAAGAAGTGGCTGAACTATCCCGTTCAAAGTTTAGTCGATTTTCAAAAACAGGCCTAACCATGCTTCAGCTCCAAAAATTGAGATTCCCATTCATTTTCCGAAAAATCTGCAGAGCTAGTGCTTTTGTATGCGACTGTGTGCGTCGCGTGCTTCGGTCGGGTGTTTGTTGGTGTTTTTACTGGGCACAGACAGGCGCAGACACACGCTGTTCGACGTGAACGTTTTTCTGAAGGCTACATACAGTGTGATGTGAGTGTGTCGGGTGGGTCAGTAGGGTAAAACTAGGCCCACTGCCTGTGCGACAACCTTGAAAGTCGGGGATGCGCCAGAAAAACAGAGGGTGATAGGTTAAGATTCGTCGCCCACACTGGCACAAACACAAAACAAGCGAGGGATCACGAGGTCAGTGTCTCGTCAATCCAGTCTGGACTTATGGAAAGAGTAGCGGGTTATCTCGACCCATGAATGACATCGAGTTGAGTGGAGAAATATCGAGAGAAACTTCGAACGAGAAAAGTTGCACGCAAAAAAGCCAACGAAAGAAACAGACGCGATACCTGGCGTTCATTTTCGTGAAAACAGTCCGCCAACAGAACTTGACGACGAGGCACAGCCGCAGGGGCCCGAATTGTTGAAGAATGAGTCGAATGGGCGTTCCTGGAAAAGGGGTCTTATAAGTGAAAGCCTCCGGGAAACGAGGTCAACTACGGATTCTCTGGATGAAGACAATGGTTTCGGGCATTATCATGAGAAACGTTGCAACTCTATCTCGATATAGTGAAAGGGCGAAATCGGAAGCGCTAAGGCTTTCAAAGGAAATGAACGCGCTGTAAAAAGGATCATGATGTTTTTCGCGATGCTGAAAACATGTGGAACCATCATCTGTTAAAAAGAAGAGCGTGACATTTCTTGGGATACGAAACTTCCAAAAAGGACGTGTCTCAAGTACTACTACGAAGAAAATTCAGAGGCTTTAGCTTGGTCGCACGAAGGATTAATGTTGACAAACAACAAATAGATTGCTTTTTGAAATCATTGGGACTTTATTACAAGTTTGATGCACTCGTCTGAGAAAAAATACCATTTTTTGCCATAAAACAAAATTATTTTGCTGTCTATTCATAACTTCACTTTTTTTTGAATTCTGAAATGCTGAAGAACGATAATGTTATTTTGGGGAATCTAAAATTTAAGCGACTTGAAGACTTCTTACAGATTTATAATCAGTTTTTTTAATTTAAGGTCTTCCTTTTGAAAATAAGTGCTAAAAACAGGCTATGCCCGATGAACCCCAACCGTCTACTCGAGATTGCTTATTGGATCTTATGAAATGTTGCGTCTTTTGGGTTCAAGCCATTTCGGTTCAACGTTTGGTTGGTAATTTTACAATTTTTTTATCACATAGAAGCCCTTGAGCCTACGCTCATGCTCAAACAATTTGACCACGGTCATTGACCATATAAAAGTGTAAACTATCTTGTAGTAATAATACTACACAGGTGAATGACTACCCTTGTTTACCACTCAAAAAGTTGCAAATATGCGTACACTGTTGTTTGTGTGAGTATTATCAAACTTGCAGCAAAACTTACATTTTGCCTTTTGTTGCCAAAAAGTCCACCACCTAGTCCGCCATTGCTGTTTTTATCCAGAAACGATCCGCCACCAACACCACCAACACCGTGTGTTGACCTGAAAATATGCTGGGACTTTTCTGGAATTTTCTCAAGTATTTATCCTGATTGTCAGGTTGCCAGAGTGCATGTGCCCCAACGGCGCGAAGCGCGCATAAGGTAACGTAACGCTGCGCTAAGCGGCGGCGGCATCGGGGCAGCGGAGTAGCTTTATCTCGACAACAGCGCAAGGCTAACGTCCGTGTTCGAGCATGTTCTCGGTGTGTACGCGCGAGATGGCTTGACGTCGGCACCCCAACTAGTCACTCATTAGCCGCCAACAACCAGTCTTGTAAGCATCTCGTAGCCCGTAAGCTTCTCGTAAGCATTACGTAACGCTGCGACGCGCGCGCGCTCTGCCCCTACGAACACACAAAGATGCGGATGACAGCTTTGTTCGTGGAGACGCCAGCGACGTGTAGTTCGAGCATTATGACTCAATTGCCATCGAAAAAAACTCTCTGAGAACAGCTTGGGTAAGGGAACAACCTCCGCCATTTTGGGCTGCCTACCAACTGGTCCTTTTGCGATACTGTTTTGCATGTCGTTGAAGACCAGCAGTGCAGGCGGCCCAAAATGGCAAATTCGGTCCCTTTCTCTCAGTTTTCATGAACTTCGGGGATGGCCGATGTTAGGAATGCAATGATGGACATGAGTATGAGAATAGAGGCTGATGGTGAAGCTCGGTTCTTTTGGAGGTTCATAATTTTCGTATACCATCGATAGCCCAACTAAGAATCGAGTAGAACAAACTCAAGAAAATCTTGCGCTTCATCTTGAAAAAAGTTATCAACCGTCTATTTGTTGCAAAACAAAGCTAAGCATTCCAAGCCTAAACTTGAACGGTCAGAAACTGAAGAGAATAGATGTTTTATCCAGGAAAATCGGATAAATTCGCCTTCGAAACTTGAAGTCATTTCCCAGAGACGTGCAAAAAAAGGAGAGAGAATTGAGATTGCGTAATCGCAAGAATGAAAGATATTGAAAAACTCAAATTGTATCATTGGCTTTCTAGAAAACCCAGATTGTATCGTGGATTGTCTGAGAAACTAAGATTGTAATGGTTTACTAATACCTTGTGAAGTTTTTGCACCAGAAGGTCTCTAGCATTTTGGAGCTAAATGTGATGGTTCAATGGTCAACACTAAACTTTCATGACCTTTTAGAACAACAAAGACTCCAAGAGAAAGAATGCTTGGAAATGGAGAATTCTGCTCAAAGAAGCGGTCATCAAATTTTCGACGAAGCTGTACCAATGCAAAGATGTAAATCTGTGCATTAAGGCAGGAGAGCTTGTAGTTACCTTCAGCTTCGCAAATAAGAGAACGTAAATGCTGTAAACGATCTTAACTACCCATACTCACCAGTTGCCAGATCCAGTACCGACAGCGAAGGTTGAAGCTCCGGTCTGAGGCTGAAGATCGGATAGGGCGAGAGCGGCACGAGGTGATGGGCTATCAGGAAGCATTTTGATTGTTCTGTAAAAATATCAACTGTGAGGTTGTAAAAATAGAGAACATAGCCAGATATCAGCGTAGGGGAAGCAGGACTATAGCACAAACGACAGATATATAGCGAATATGACGTCGACGACGACGACCACCCATGGGATGTAGACGGCTTAAGTAAGCCATGGACATGAGTCGTCGTCGGCCTCGGAAAAGCTAGCTACGGTGTCGGTGCTAACGTGAAGTCGAGACTGGTAGACAGTAGCACCCGCCAGCCCCCACGCTCGCTTCGGGCCCCGCCCCTCCTATTTTGTGAGCGCCGCCCGGCTCGACCCGCCCATTTCCGTCAACGCAAGAGTGCTGAGTGGCAGAACACACCTCCTTGAGGGGCTCGAACACTCAGCTAACGCTATGCTGTTAGCCCTCCATCCCTGGAGTTCAACAGCATCTTAGGAGATCAGCATAAAATGACGTGTCGTCGCGGGACATGTGACACCGGAAACTCGTCCAAAACTGGGATGGAGATCGGAGTTTGATGCTGGATTTGGAACAACAAAGTATGCATCAGAGATGATGTAATTATATGTTGGAGAAACGAGATATATCGCTGTACGACTAGTAGTAAAACGTTAAGCTTTAGCTTAACATTCTTTTAGTTGAGGCGCGCCTCAAATGTATCCCATTGTGGTTCTTTCCCATTGTTGACCAAGAAGCAAACTGAATTTGCCTCTAAATTCTTAGATCTATAGTTTTTTCATAGTCTAGCCAGCTTTTTTTTCAGAGCTCAAATTACACGGCTTCATAGATGAGCTCCAAATACAAGGCTATAACTTATTCAGAAGAGCAATGCATCTAATCTGATGCTTGCTTGATTGTTGGTGATCTTTTCATACGCTGGGCCTCACTATAAAAAACAGTTATTCAGATCAGACATACTTCAAGTAGAAGATTTCTCTCGAACAAAAATGAGTGAGTTCTTCGCCCTAGTGAAATTCGCTCAAATCCATCTTCGTTGACTTTCGCGAAATCGGGCAATCTATCAGCGTTTTGAGAAGAGACGTTGTCTACTTATAACATTGCTGAAATTCTATTTCAAGGAAAAATTATCAAAATGTTAATCTCTTCAAAATAAAAGCTAGGAAAGTTTATAGCCTGGCAAAATGTAACCTTGGCAAGCAATAAGTATTAGTGTCGATGGATTTATGACAAAGTCTCTTATCCACCTTCAAATTCCTATATAAAAGTTTCAGTGTGTCGATGCGAGGCTGAGAGTACAAAATGCCACTTGAGGCCTCCCTCCCTCCCAGTGAACTATGTCTTCAGATACTGTTATATCGTGTTGTAGAGAAAGTTGCTGGTATAAGAGGTTTAGCTTAAAGACTGTACAGTAGGGTGACGAGGTGAATGAGATTTCAATCGCGAAACGCTGGAAAACAAACGCTTTATCGAAGCCGAGCTAAGTATGCAAGGAGCTGCCGATTTTTGCAGGAGACTCGCAATGAAAGGTGTGGTGGGTCTCCTCCAGGATTCGGCTGGACAGGCGCTGAGAACAGGTTAGACGACCAGTTAATGTGCGGGATTGATAATCGGAATCCAAACACACATGCAAACACAGTAACGCTGCATACCAACTCTCAGTTCAATGCGGATCTTATTGTTCACCGAAAAACGAGTTCAGCACCGTTGTTCTGGCGTTGAAATGCCGAAAATGGGAAGCACGGGAAGAAGGAAGAGAACAGTCAAAAGCTTGCGCATGGACTGCAGGAAGCGGAAACGTTGCAAGAGTTTGCCAGCAGTTCGGCGAGACAATCGCCAAACTGCCGGCAGAATCGCCAAGGTTTGAGGCGCGGCGGCTGTCGCTGGTTGGCAACGAGTGTGTTATATCTCGTATCTATGTGGTATATCCAAGGTCAATCGCTCCCTGTGAGGATAAACATGCGCATACTTTGCATACTATGCATGATTTTGGGCGCAAGGGACTATCGCATCTCGTGTTTTGTGCTGCGTTTTTAGCCTGAATTAAATTAATTTTGGACTCAAAAACTTGCACGGCTTTTGGGATTTTTGGCTGCATAGAAGCTAATAGTATTTGTCAACAAAAATCCACGTTTGCTATTTGCATTTATAGCAGTGGAACGAACTCATTTCCATGTTGGCATTTTTTGTCCTAATTGTATTGTAAAAAAAAACTATTGATTTCTATATCTGCTGTAAGCTTGTTAATCTGGGACTAAGTTAACATAAAACATTGAAACATGTTTTGCATCAGCGTGAGGAGGTTTGAATCAAGAAAACCCGTATGTATAATATTATCAAAAACCTAATCCCTTTTATGTAAACATAGCCCTAAGCGCACATAAAATTGCCTCTAAGAGGCCCTTTGTCAGAGATTACCCACTTAATGGAGCATAATGTAAAACGTGCTAGCGCTCCCTCCCATATCCCGCCTACTTGAAATGTTTGAAGACCTCAAATCTACTAGATGAATAGCGATTCGAGCGTTTAGTCACTTTTTTTGGAAAGGTTTATTTGAACTCGAAAGGGGAAAATTCCATTTGCACTCTGGAGAGCGTCACGAGTTCATAGGCGGAAAGCAAAAATTGAATGCGAAAAGTGCGGATTGCAAATACACGATGGTGATTTTCACATAGGAAGAGGCGAGGAAATTCTGTTTCCATAGTGATGTAGAATGAACAAGTTTCACTCTGGATTTTCATTACCATTAACTACTCCGTCTTGCCGGAAAAAGTCTATTACAAAAAGTGCAGCGCAATAATCTTCTCTATCTAAATTTTATCCATAATCAACTGATTAGTCGCCTAATCCGCACTTGATCTTTCTTCATATTGGCTTCTATTCGATGTCAAAAAGGCAAATTAAAAAGTGTGCAAGAAAAAGATTTTCCACTTCTTCTGTTTCTTTTTTTTTTCACGAAAAGCGCAAGCTTGTTGACAGGAAACTTCAACCCAATCAGTGCTTACGTAAAGATAACTGAAACCTACGGATGAGTTTTCTTTTCGAAATTCTGAAGAAAGTGCCTCGGACTGTGACTGTCCTTAAACGACCCGAAACAATGGATGTCAAAGCCGGATGCTTTTGGAAGATTGATAGAATGGATTATGGCAGATGTCCTTGAAAGTTGGATGAAAACGTCACACGAGAAAATCGATGACTTTTGGTCATTTATAAAGATGCTTTTTTTTTGTGCGCATCAGAAGAATAGGCTTTTGTCCAGCAAAAATTTTTGAAAGTGATGTGGAGGCAGTGAACTTTAAGGGAGTTGTGGGATTTGCACATGATGGAGTGGAACTCTGCATGAGCTTCTATTTTTGTTTTCATAAACCTTGCACTTTGGCTGCGTGAAAGCTCATGAAAGCTCGCTGAACAATCTCACTTCTGTTTCTGCGAAGTCACAATGACATCAGTACATGGCCCTGGCTCGTTACCAGCAAACTTGAGCTATTTGCTAAAACAAGGCTTTTGGATATCTCATATGGGAGATCTATCGGAAGTGGGTTGAAAAAATAGGAATTGATTGAGAGGTTTTTGAGGAAGATAAATACACGGGTAGAAACAATCTGCCTTCGCAAACTGCTGTTCCTTACATGCCATGCAATAACGCACAGGTGAGGAATAGTAGTCCGCGCAGGTGGCGTCTAGAGGCGGTATTCATTGCTGCACTCGAAAGGCCCTGCTAATGTAACGGTGTGTTTTGTGAGGCTCCAACTATGTGGATTTTATTCCAGAATTCCAGTTAAAATAGGATTGGAAAATGTAGTTACATAAAATCGTCCAAAGGTTTACAGTGATACGGCTAGAAATTCCCCTGAGGCATTTCTTCTCCAAAAGGCAACTTTCATAACCTCTTGCACGGTTAGAATCGCGACCACATAGCATCAAAATTGTTTGTTTTCGAAAAAGAATGTTATTGATGACTTATTCGTCCGATCCCATATAAGCACTGAGGCTAATCGTTAGCAAGTTGCGATGTGCGATGCTTAGCGAATACCCGCCAACGTCGAGCATTCTCGGATCGTTCCATGTGCCGAGAACTATTAGCGTAAATCGGATAGTCGAAGCGAAAAGGAGCGGCAAATGAACGATCAAGAAGCTTAGCCGCAGCGTTGCAATGTTGTAGAACGGGAAACGTCCTCGTGGTCCCGGCAGTTAGTGGGAAGTTTAACGCACAAGGCCGAGCTTTAGGTGAATTTGAGTGTATTTTAAGCATTATATCAAAGGTGACATCTCGAGAGGTTTTATGAAGATTCAAAGAGATAAGGGAATATGGCACGAAAGCGACATCGGCAGGCTTCTGCTACAAAATGCTAGCCAAACCACGCCTACTTCCGCATTTATCCGCAGAAGACAGGTCTATTGTCAATGAAAGCACATGCCATCAGCAAAACCTTTAGATTTGGTGGAAAATCTCCCCCCTAGTGTCATAACGCACACCAGGCTGTGACCAGATCGGATTTGATAGTTGTTGCCTGCAGCTGATTGATAGGCTCGAGGACGGGGAAAATTACGTAGAATTTTTTTCTTTAGCTGCCTTTCGCAGATGATGATTTGAGAATGCTCACTTTTGGGCTGGCTTCCTTAGATCAAACCTTTGCATCTTATCCCCTCACCCGAGGGCTGCAGCCAGTTTCACCGCCGCCCTGTGTACGCCTTATACGAGCGCTTTTTCGAGATCAAGCCGATTGCGCCGATCCTTATCTGGAACACAATGCTGCTAGCGAAAATCAGTCATAGCAAAATTCACCCCATTCAACTCAGGCTAGTCGTTTTGGGCTAGGCTTTTTAAAAAAATCTTTCTGAGCACATTTGTGAACATTTGAGAGCGCATGGCGAGCAGCAGCAGAAGTCTCTTTTTTGTTGTTTCACAGCGATTCATATAAAATTTTGGCAAAAGCAGTTTTTGAGAGTATTGGAAACTCTCCAGTACCTAGGTATAACCAAGAACAAATTTAGTGTGGTTCTCAATGCATGTGCGAAAATGCACTCGAAACAGAAGCAAAAC